GAAGAGGAGAAAGAACAGTAATGCCTGGAATTGTGGGGCTGGGGTGGGAGTGGCGGTGGGGAGTGAGAAGGAAGTGAAAGCAAAGACGCTAATCACACCCGGAAACCCCAAGTTACGCATCAAGCGATATTTAAATAATGCGAGACGTGATACCTCTCACGCATCTCCTTCACGCCCCTCCATCTTTATCCACGGAGTAGCGTATTAGGAGATCTTTGTCCTCCCTCCCACCTCTCTTTGAGCAACGCTACGTGTACAAGCCAATTAAAGTATTAATAAATACTCCATTCGTAAGTGAGACTGTACATAAATTGTTAACAAAAATTATATAAAATGCTGCAATTATTGTATGTACCGAAAATTCTAAGCACTTAAAACAGAAGTTTTTAAATAAACGGAAATATTTTTAAATAAAAAAAATACATAAAATTCAATTTGTAATTTACAAATTTCTAAAAAAGTTATGTATTAAAAAGGTGTTTTTGTTTGTTTGTTTGTTTTTTTTTTTTTTTTTTTTCATTACTTCTGACATTCTAATTTATAACCATAGGAATATTATGGTTTTAAATGTTTAACCATAGTAAAATTAACGTCATTTTATCGGGTGTTCTTGAATTATATAATAATTTCACATTCGCATAAACAACGCTTGAAGGCAAAAAAAAAAAATGAGAAAACACTGAAAAATCAAAGGGTTGTCATGCAAAAGAACTGTTAAATATTAATTGCATATAACTATCGATTATCTACACCTATTTACTTCAAAAAGATATTTTGTTGCGCTCTCATATACAACTATTGATACATATACTCTGAAAAAAAAAGAAAAGAAAAAAAAAATATATATATATATATACTTTTAAATATATACGTTAGAAAAAATTCCATTAATTAATAAGAAAGTTTAATTTCAAATCACCATTGGTCGTAGATCTTTTATACATATTTTATATATTATTTACTGAAAACTCGACAAATATATTCCATATGGATATAATCCAATTAAGCTAATAAAAAAAGAATATAATTTTAATTATTTCTTTAAATGAACTAAAGTAATTATTTAAAACGAATTACAAATTGCTCTTTCAATGTAAATTCTTTTCGAACGAAAATCTTTTATATTATAATATCTGGCTAATATTAATGTACTTTGCATGTTATTAAAGATAATTTAATTCAATAATATTTAAGAATAATTTTCAAGCTACGATTATGAGGACAATAGTGCTTTAATATTAATTAAAAATAAATCATTTGCAAATAAAATTATTTTAATGGCTAAGTTTTACTGTCATAACTATTAAATAACATTAATTCACAATACTTAGGAATGATGAATATTCAAGCGTAAGCTGCCTGTTATCTTATGTATTCAAATATTTAAATGCCTACGAAAATGTTTCAGTACCATAGTTAATTAGCATATAATATGATAATACAGGATTGGATAAATAGAAGAAGAAAAAAAATATTATGCTTCGAAAGGTAATAATTTGAAGAAAAAGTCTTATTACGTTAAAAGAATTTACTCATCTCTAAATCAAATAAGCCTCATAAATCTTATATTGTACGACTGTGACCAAGTTACTTTAATATTTCATGTCATTTAAATCGAGCGAGGGTAGTCAGTAATTTTGTTTATAATACATTTACTATTGGTATTATTTATTCTTATGTTGATAAAGTATCTAATTTCGACAAAATTTTATGATTTTACGTTCTTTTTTCTTTTTTCTTTTTTTTGTAAATTCTGTCTCGTATCTCTTAAAAATGTCGAAAATATTTATACAAACTAACAATTTCCATTCTCATAATATATATATATATATATATATATATATATATATATATTGACTAAACAGAATTTACTAATCTAAACTATATAATTTAAAAGTATGTGTAAATAAAATGATTATACGATATTATAAATTTATAATTAATTTCAATTGTTTCGAAAATATGCGATAGTTAAATTTACGATAATATTCATTAAGTATTTTATTCGAATGATAGTTTAATTTTTCAATTTCATTAAATATTTATATTAGACAATATGAATATTCTAAAAATTAAAAATAACAACAAACAAAAAAAATAGTTAAACGAACAATCTCCGTTACAAATAATTCAAATTTCATGCTATTTGCATCGTTATCATTGAAAGTGTATTAAAATTAATAATATAATACGACAATTTTTTATTTTTTCAATTTATTCGGTGCATCGATTTTGTTATATTAAGTGTCCTAAAAAGCTAAACACAAAATATGTATAATAGAATATAAATAAATAAACAGTTTCATCGAGTTCCGCCGTTGACCAAATTAATTAACATACAATTTATTTACTACTGTAAATTGCATTGATCACATGTTTAATAATAAAATATTAGATTTATAAATAAGTAAATTATTAATAATTTTTAGTATTTATCCCTATGATATTACAATTTTATTATATTAAATTGCCTTAGTTTATTAGAACTATCATGACCTTCAATATTTATTTTAATTAATGTAATCTACTGGATGTAATAGTAACACTACATTTATTAAAAATGTATTGAACTTTACCTATAAATATTTACTTAGATGTTAATTGGGTTGCAAATAAAATTAAATAAACATTCTGATTAAGTTTTACTTCAAATGTTATTATTACAAATAATAATAATAATAAAACTATAAAAAGGAATATACGATATTCAACAATGTGTTTGTGATTCATGTATTCATTATTACAGTCGAATGCCGTATACGAATGCCGTATCTGTATGAATATTTTTTTGATAATAAAAGGATAATTGTATTTACCCAACCCTATGATATGAAAACTAAATATTGACATTTATCGGAAAGAATAAAAATTCCATTTTTGTTTTCGTTCGAAAAATTATTATTATCTTTTTCCTCTAACATTTTAAGAAAATTAATCCTTAAAATGGGAAAATTGGTTTAATAATTATTTTGTAAGCAACTTCTGGGCATAATTATTTTACGAATATAAAATATTAGAATATCTTATGCCATTATATTTATCGAGTGGCGTAGAATGGATTGAAATCACATATTTATTCATTTAATAAAATGATAAATCAATTTTATTTTCGTTATTTATTTATTTATTTGTTATTTATTTATTTATTTTTTGTTTTGTTTTTTTTTTTTTTTGTTTTTTTGTTTTGTTTTGTTGTAAATTTACTTAACAACTAATTAGAAATAAAAGATAATAATGCTAAAGAAATAGATTTCTTTAATGTTAGTGGTAATAAAAGTAGCAAAATTTTGAGGAAACAATTGTTAATGGGACTTGTAAATTTACTAATCTCTTAATATCTTTAATCATAATATACTTAAATAATGTGTTACGACCGCAAGAACAAATAAGTAATAAAAAATAATTTTGTAATCAAAAACAAAACATGAGAGAGAGAGAGAGAGAGAGAGAGAGAGAGAGAGAGAGAGAGAGAAAAAAGTGTAAACGAGAAGCTCTTATTAATGACGAAAAGTTTTTAGTTGTTAATTGGAATAATAATTTCTTCACTGTTTACATAATCGATCACTTACACATATTGATTATTATTCGTAATATTATTAGGCATTTCTAAAACTCTTTTAAACGGTAATAAACAAATATAGACGATTTTTTTCATCTACATTATTAGAATTTGATTTAATAAAATAAGCCCTACATATCTAATTTTGTGACAATTTTATAGATTTCATATATTTAATAACCGTTTTTCCTTTTATTTCTCTTTTTGTAACTCTAATAATACTTGAATAGTTATTAACTTAACAGAACATTAAGTACTTTTCGTTATCGTTATGTTTTCTTATCATAAATTTTAATATTAACTGTCCTTTCTCTGTAATTTAGAATTACTATGCATCGTTAATCCAACATTAATTATATGGAATTCGTATCATCATCCTAAAACATGAAGTAGAATGACGAAAAAATTTTCCAAGAATAATATCAAGTAAGAGTGTTCCCTGTATTCGAATCACTTGACTCAATTGATCTTTATACGCAAAAGTAATTGATCGATTAATGAAAATTTACTATATTAACGCTTTGTCTATTTGTCTATTAACCAAGCTGTCGCTTACTGTAAGATTCTTTTGCTGCTTTCGCCATGTTCTGTTAGACATTAAGCATGATATATTGATTCTAAAGTACATTTGTAATTAAATAAATAAAGGGCATAAAAATCTTTTTAATGAGAATTAAATAATAAATTCAAGTAAATTATTTATATATATAAAGCAAATTGCTTACACGTGCACGATTTATTTGTTTTTCTCTACTATCGTTGAGAATAATACCAAACGACGACGATTATTTGTCTGATAAAGTCAACAAATTTTTCTTCGTTTGATAAGTGACATAGCATTTGTACACATGCATATGCATACCTTTATTGTAGTGAGAAGCTTTCATCGTAGAAGATAATTTTGCTCTGATAATTACATTTTATTTATTTTTTTTTTTTTTTTTTTTTTTTTTTTTTTTTTTTTTTTTTTGTACAAATAGGAATCCGAAAGCTCAAAGCAACAATCAATTGTGATCTGCTCAGTCGCAGTGCCGCTCAACAGCCGCCTAATACAGAAAATAGCTGAAACAATATCATATTGTAGAGAGGAAAATGTGGCAGCAATATAAATAGGCTTCAGAAATAATTTTCCACGGAAACGTCTAATGTTTCAAAATTATTGTGTGCCAAGTGATTACAATATACAAATGATTGCATAGCAAAATTAATGATAATATACTGTAGATAATAACGGGAGTTTGGAAAATTTAAGTTTTTCTTGCATTTTTACGGATTTTTTTTTTTTGTTTTTTTTCTTCTTTTTTTTTTTTTTTAATAATTTCGTATTAATAAAGTATTATGTAAAATTGTGTAAATACGAAGACTGTTATTGTTTCTTGCTTGTTTTTATTTATTTATTATTATTTGTGTTTTGTTTAAATAATAATAATAATAATAATAATAATAATAATAAAGTTAAGAATAAAAATCTAAGTGATAAATAAGTGTAAATACGTATGAGGGTCGATAAAACTTTTCAACGATCATGGACACGACTAAATCTTTCAACAATCCGAATCCACGAGAAAGTGCCAATTCAATTTCAGTTTTGGTATGGTGGTGAGTAATTTTTCACATTCCTTTGAGATTAATATAAATTTATTTTCAAATTCATTATTTCTTTCTCAATTTGTGATATAAAATTTAAATTAATCAATAGTATTCCAACAAATTAATTTCAATATACGTTCGATATGTAGAGATAAATCAATAAAACAATAAAATCTTGTAGTATGTGGGGATTGAATTGATTTTTTCGTTGTTAAATGTAATTGAAACGACAGATTTGTAGATTTGACAAAAATTTATATTTCCTACTAATAACTAAATTATCGATAGACAAATATCAACTTATAAAGTTTTGATGGCTAAAAATTTTTTTAAACTATGTATTCCAATATTTATATTTACTCATATGTAAATATTTAATTCATTTAATGAAATTGAAACGTTAGTTTTATTAGTTTTCATATTGTTCCCTATTAATAAATAAGAAAATATGTACTTCCTTTCACGAGTTAAATGATAATAGATTTAAAATAAAATTATCATAAAAAAAAAAAACTAACTGTACATTTTTACAGTAAATAATTTTTCAACCGTTTAATTCGAGAAATTGAAAACTTGTAATTACAATTTTTAATTATTTAATGAAAGGTAAACTTGATTTGGAATAGATAAAGATTCGAATATTTAAAATTCTTATTATTTTAATTGTAATGACAAAAATATACTTTATTACGTTATATTCAGACTATTCAAATAATTCAAACTCTTATTTTTATTTTTAGGGAATAGATTTATTTTTTCATTCATTTCACAATAAGAAAGTCAATATTTTTTTTTTAACATTATGTTTCAACTGGTAACTAGAAAAAATTTTTTCAACTTTTTTTTCAACTTTAAAATTTTGTATAATGAGCGTGAGCGTGGATGTTGAAGGAAAAGTAATCGATATATTAATGGAAACATTACGTTCTATAATGACTTTATTTGTTTAATGATTTGAGTCAAATTATCATAAAATTATCATAAAATTATAAATTAAGAAAGAAAAGAATTTTTTCTATTCATTCATAATTTATAAATGATGAATGCAATCGAAATCGATCGTCAATTCGAAAAAATCAGAAAATTATATTTGTAATTAATGGTTTCGGTTCTACTAGAGTTTGCATTATTCAATATATATCAACACAATGTAAGAAAACTATAATATAATAAAAAATTTAATTATTATTTACACATTGGAATTTTATATTAATAGATAAGATTTTCAGATAAGTTAAAAAAAAAAAAAAAATATTCCGTGAAGAAACATGGAATACTCAAAACATAATTTGTAAAATTCAATTCAATAAATGTCACATTGTCAAAAATTTGATAATCACTACTTTATCATCACAACTCTGATTAAAAGCTAACTATTCACTATTCATTTTAGGTGGACCCTCAGTTTATTCAAAAAAGGCTACAGAAAGATCTTAGGACCCGACGATTTATACGATCCCATACGTAGCGATAAATCCAATGTTCTAGGCGACCGTTTAGAAACGTTAGTATGACTTATCTTCTCTCCTTAATTCGAACGGTACTTTTCAAATTATTCCAACGTTCGCATGCGTAAACAAGCAAAACTGCACAATACGTAACGAGAAGCGTTGCAAGCCTCGTACAAAAAGGCGCATAAGCCGAATGCACGAAGCAGCAGCGAAGTACACCCCCCCCCCCCTCACCACCACCCATCCACCACCACTACGACATTTCAGAAACAAGTGACGTAGGCAGCTCGCGAGTACGAACATACGATGCTTATTGGCACAAAAGCGGTGATGTAAATATCATTATTGTCGGGGTTTGTTAGCCCCGCTATTTTTGGATTGGCCGCTGCCTTGGCCAGTCGTCGTACTCGCAACACTCGTTACTCGATGGACAATAATAGAGTGGTTTGCGAGTGGTAGTCATTATTGTCGTTCTTGAAGAACTTTGCTTTTGTTGACACTCGTGATTGCAATAATCTTGCCAATCAGCAAACGATGAAAATATGGAAAAATAGAAGAAGAAAAAAAGTACGCGCAAAGGACATCGTCGTTGCTTATTCATGGACATGGACATTATAACTGAGCAATCGCATGTTGCGGAAATTAATGTCGATTCTCATTGTATTCTAACTGATCTTTCCGATCTTCTCCCAATGCATCTCGACTAATGCATTTAAATTTCAATTTAATAGAGGGACTCTAGTTTCAACATCACCAACGATTTACTCATGCTGGATCATCTTCCAGAAAACATCACGATTGTTTGGGTTAAAAGGAGCCGAAAGTATTCCCCCGATGTGGCAACGAATTTCACGAACTTTACCGATTAAGATCGCTTCGCTACCGTCTGCTTAGTCACGAAATTCAGCTCTCGGGTATCGGCATCGTAATTAAAAAAAAAAAAAAAAAAAAAAAAAAAAAAAAAAAAAAAAAAAAAAAAACTTACAATTTCACTATTACCGCTCGATATTGACTGGCTCTTCTTCAGCATCGTACTTTAGCTTGTCCATAATTATAAATAAACACTGCATTTAAATCGATATGTTACTTCAATTAATCTCGCTCTATTATCTCGTAAAGTGCCGAATTTTATTACATTGTCGGATCGACGAGATTCTTCCATAAGACATAAATTTTTTTTTATTATCTTTCGCCGGAGTGGTTTTTTTTTTTTTTCGACATGATGTTCCGATTACGTTTAGCGAAGGACTTATCTCTAAAATCATTGAGTCTACTTCACTCTACATTTTATTCTTATTGTTGATATTTTGATATTAGACAGTAGAGCTCCGTTCATAAAACTAGAGCTATTAATAATTCTTTACAAAATTGCATTCGTCAGTTTTACGATTTTAAATTGTCCAAACCTGTCGTTCGAACCTTTTATGAATGACAATTAATTTCAATATTAAATGCATTATTGTTTTAACCAGCAAAGGACATTATTTTATTCGGCTTGTAAGACCGTAGAAGATGGTGCGTGGGAGGTCACTATTAGAATTAATCGTCTAAATTTCTATTGATCGTTATGTAAAAGAAAAAAGAAGAAGAGAAAAATTATAAAATATTACTTTAATTTGGTCATGTATTTTGTCATAGAAAGCTTTATATCGAACAACATATGTTTACAGGCAGTGGAAAGCAGAATTACAAAAGGCAAGAAAAGGAAAACGATATCCAAGCCTACTTAAAACAATTTTGCGAACTTTTATTTTCGAGTGTTTCATACTCGGGTGCGTTCAAATACTCAATGAATTTGTACTGAGGTATGACAACTATGTATTTTCCGATCTTTATATTACGAAAACCCTATTTGTTTATTATATTATCATAGTTAAAGCATTTTATTGCCTTGCTCTAGTATTATGCTATTAATCGTGTTTTTAATCCTGCAAGATAATTGTTGTTTTTGAGACGAATAATTTCACATTGGAAATCTTGTAAGATTCGTGTGAAAATCTATTGTTTTTTTGTTTATTTATTTATTTTTGTTTTTTTTTTTTTTTTGTTTTGTTTTCGTTCGTTAAACACGTTCCCTCTTTATAATTGATTATATAATATAATATAATTGTATACGCATTAATGCAACATTTAAATGAAATAAAAAGCCTCAATTTATAATATAAACTAATATTTTTCAATCGCATAAATACTTCTTTTTTAATAAGGAAAAAGTTGCTGAAATTTATTTGAAAATTCACCTTTAAAATTGCTATAAAACTCATGATTATTATTATTATTATTGTTATTATTATTATTATTATTATTAATGTTTTTTTTGTTGTTGTTATTGTTGTTGTTGTTGTTGTATTATTATATTATTATTATTATTATTATTATTATTATTGTTGATGTTATTAACTAGTTAATTATGTGCTTGCTGACATTTTAGTGATTCGGGAAATTGTTTATTACATCTTTTTTCTAAATTCATTGAAAAAATGTTATTATTTTATTAATTACGTACACTTGTAGTTAGTAAAAAACTTATGTTTATCAATTTTATCTTACCGAGTCTTTAGCCACTTAATTCCTTTTTTTTTTTTCACATTGACTTAATCTAACATAAGATCTTCTTCGTTACACAATGACTTGTTCTATAAAATCTCAATGTGCCACTAATTTTCTTATAATTTTTTTTACATGTGAAACGATAAGATATTTTTTTCTTTTTCTTTTTTTCTTTTTTTTATGGAAATTTTATTTACGGTGTAGAAAATCTCTATTTCATATCAAGAGTATATAAAATAATATATTTGTAAAAGAAAATTTTATATATTATAAACAATTGTAATTATAAATTATTACAATCGGTATGATTAAATATTTCGCTGTTAATCGTTTTTATTGTAAATTAAGGCGTACGTATACAACATTTACTTATAAAACAATGCTTTTCTTTCTTCATTCTTTTTTTTTTTTTTTTTTTTTTTTTTTTTTTTGTTTTTTGTTTGTTTGTTCGTTTGTTTGTTTTAAATCAAATTAAGCTTAATAATATTCGGCTATCTATAATGAACAAATTATATTGATAAATGAGCAATTAATAATTTATAATCTCCGTAGGTTAGGAACGCCGATACTTTTAGGTGCTCTTCTACAATATTTTAAGCCCGAGCCAACCACAACTTACGAGGCGGCATTGATTTATGCCGGTGGAATTTCAATTGCAACAGCCATTAATGTGATAACTATAAATCAACATATTTTTGGTGCATTCCATTTAGGTGGAAGAGTTAGAATAGCCGTGTGCTCCGTTGTGTATAGAAAGGTTATAGGAACATTTATTTTTTCTTTTTATCAAACTATTAATAGATATGATAATAAATCAACAATTTAGTAATTTTAATTTCAATTGCAATAATGGATTATGTATCTTTATTATTATGTATCTGTAAACGTAAATATTACAAACAAACAGCAAGAAGCATCTTATGAAAATTCATGATTAATTGATTTTTTTCTTTCTTTTTTTTCCTTTCATTATTTTATTTTCTTGTCAACCATTTGATTGATTTGTATATTGTGTCCTTATTTGGCATTCAAAGAGTGTGGCCATTAAAAAGGAAAAAGAAAAAGAAAAATCCATAAGGAAATGTGATGAACTGATTAATCATAATGTGATTTATACGTGACTTATATCAAGTATATAAAGCCATTAAGAATGAAGCATATTTATTGATTTCACTCGTGAAAAACCATTGACATTGGATGATTTACCAATAGTTAAATTTTTTTTTTTTTTTTTTTTTTCTAAAAAAACAGGCGCTTTCCTTAAGTAACTCGGCGCTCGGTGACACAGCTCCAGGTAAAATAGTGAATTTAGTGGCCAACGATGTCAATCGATTCGATCTCGTTTTCGTTTTCTTACATCACATGTGGTCGGCCCCGCTCTCAGCTTTGGTAATTGCATATTTCCTATACCATGCAGCTGGCTATGCTGGGATTATCGGAATTATCGCCGTCTTCATTGTCGTCCCAATTCAAGGTATGTTTTCGATGGGACAATACTTTAAGGGATTAATGGGAAACTTAACTTCAGCCCATGGTTTATACAAAAATGTTTAATATAAAATCGAATTTTCACTGATATTTTCAATCGAGTCGTCATACCTTTATAATAATAATTTATAATAATAATACAAACAAAAACAAAAACAAAGACAAAAAAAGATTTGACCAAATATCAAGCTAATGCCTGTGTTAAAAGTTATTGATAATATTCGATAATGAGCAAACGTCAAATATCTATTTGGAGAATGAACGAGAGAGAAAGTAGGACGGTAAATTAAATCATTAAAGGATACGTCAATTCGTTGCATTTATCGTTGTTGTCGTTGTTATTATCATCATTATAATCAATGAACCTAGAATGATAGTATTTGGTATGCTTTAAAGACAAAAATGACAGGTATAATATAGTATCCTCGTGGCATAACAATTACTTGTTACGTTAGTTCATCTACATTTTATTAGCTCCAAGGTCGTATTAATTGCGAATGGTTTGACATTTGGTTTGGCTATGTTTCAGCCTATACCGGCAAACTCTCGTCCAAATTCCGACTACAGACGGCTATCAAGACAGACGAGCGCGTACGTCTGATGGACGAAATAATATCCGGAGTCCAGGTGATAAAGATGTACGCGTGGGAGAAGCCGTTCTGCGCCCTCATCGAGCTGGCTCGGCGGCTCGAGCTCAAGGGCGTCACAAAGAGCTCCTACATCCGCGGCATATACATGACCTTCAATATATTCACCACGCGAATGGCCTTGTACTGTACCCTGGTGGCGATGTTGCTCTCGGGCGATAGACTGTCCGCCGATACCGTATTTGTATTCTCGGCCTACTTCGCCATACTCGCGCACACGATGTCCGGGATGTTCGTGCGGGGCGTCGCCGAGATCGCCGAGTGCATGGTCGCGGTAAACAGGCTCCAGACCTTCCTCACCTACGAGGAGTTCGAGTCAGGTAACGTCACCAGCGATTTTCTCTTATCGACCTCGAACGGCACCATCAACTCCGACTCGCGGTACAGCTCGATCAAGGCCTCTAAGCAGGATCTTCCCTATATCGACGAGGACGTTAATCATGACGAGGGATCGAGCGATAAAAGGAGGCAGAGCTACGTCCTCGCCAGCGAGCTATTAAAGAGGAATTCCGAGGATACCGATAGCAAGAATTCTAATAATACAAAGTGAGTCTCTCTCTCTCTCTCTCTCTCTCTCTCTCTCTCTCTCTCTTCTCTTTCACGATATATAATTTTAATTTAGACTCTGTAATATAGAATTCGTGTACCGATCGCGTGAAACTCTATAATAATTCGATAGTTGTTGAACTCTAGAATAATAATCGTACATAATATCTAAAATATCGTCGAAATTTAGAATGATATTAAAAATAAAAAAAAAAAAAAAAAAAAAAAAGATCGGTGATAAGTATAAGTATTAATAATAATAATAATAATAGTAATACAGCTTTGAAATTGTTATTATGCAGTCATGACGAGGTTCGTGACGAGTTGTATAGCGTGAAGCTGAAGCACGTCACGGCCAAATGGGATTTGCACTCATCTGAGACGACCACCCTTGACAATATCAATGTTAAAATTGAGAGGGGAAAGATGTATATAGTGATTGGAATGGTCGGCTCGGGGAAGACATCGCTCTTATCGACGATTCTGGGCGAATTACATCTACTTCAGGGTGCCGTGCGAGTCAAGGGTGGCATTAGTTACGCGAGCCAAGATGCCTGGGTCTTCGGTGCGAGCGTTCGACAGAATATTGTCTTTGGTCAGGAGTTCGATAGGCAAAGGTACCAAAAGGTCGTCAAGGTCTGCGCCCTCCTCAAGGACTTCAAGCAGTTCCCCCAGGGCGACCAGACGATCGTAGGAGAGAGAGGCAGTTCGCTTTCAGGTGGGCAGAGGGCGAGAATCAATTTGGCAAGAGCCGTTTACCGACAAGCAGATATTTACTTATTAGATGATCCACTGAGCGCTGTAAGATTTTGTTTTTTTTTTTTTACAAAAAAAAAAAAAGATTCTCCTCTTAAATATAAGACGTTACACCGAATTCATAACAATTCATAAAGATCACGACGTTTCTCTTGCGCACGATCTACGTACAACCGATCGCGCCTGTATTTGCCTAAATACGTACAATAGCAATTTTATGTAACGTATGCATTTACGCATGTGCGCGGGTGTGTTTGTATTTTTTATTAAATTATAGGTCGACACTCACGTTGGAAAGCATCTGTTCGAGGAATGCTTGCAAAGGTATTTGAATACCAAAACGCGTATACTAGCAACGCACCAACTGCAATATATCAAGAATGCCGATTCTATTATTCTCATGGAGCAAGGAAAAATACGGCAATATTCGGATTATCGTGAATTGCTCGATAAGCATCCGGAGTACAGTAGTCTAATAGCCGAAGAGAGGAGAGGAGAGACGAGTAACGAGTCTTCGATCGATGTATCGCACATTAGACGTCAATTCTCTTCGTCGAGCACTAGGGTAATTTAATCGAAAACTTTAATAGAGAGAGACCACCTACCACCTACCACCTACCACCTATCACCTACCACCTACCACCTACCACCTATCACCTACCACCTACCACCTACCACCTATCACCTACCACCTACCACCTACCACCTATCACCTACCACCTACCACCTACCACCTATCACCTACCACCTACCACCTACCACCTATCACCTACCACCTACCACCTACCACCTACCACCTACCACCTACCACCTACCACCTATCCCCAATAGACAGAGACCGTTTTTAATCTCTCATCCTTATACTTAACGATCTTCCACCCCCCCCCCCACCTACCACCTATCCCCAACCAAATACCAAATACCAAATAGCCAAGCTCGATGATGAAATATAATGAAAATTCTCTAATATCCATAATTGATAATTGTTTTATCGAACAGAGTCGAACGCCCGACGCCAGTGTCATTGACTCTGACGCGGAAGACGAAGAGGATGATGCAGCACAGTTGGCAGATTTCATCGAAGGCACCTCTCGTGGTACCGTAAAAGGAAGCATCATATTAAATTATTTCAGAGCCGGCTTGAGTTTTCTATTTGCCTCGGTATTGATCTTCCTTTTCCTCCTAACTCAATTTATGGCCAATTTCAATGACTACTTCATCCCAGTGCTGTACGTATTGCGCCCGACCATTTAATACTTAATATTAACAAGGCTAATCGTAATCGCTATATAATAGGCCAATAATTATGGAAATTGTCTATTGAATTGTATTATGGTGTAGCGAATGGGGGTATTACGTTGAAGCAAACTCGGCCAAAATTGCGACTAAACGATAGGCGGTTGAAATCGCTTTGGATTTCAGGGTCACGGCCGAAGAATCCCGAGCTTTTTACGCGGACCAGCGCAAACACGAGGCCAATAATTCGACGTTTTCCATTAACAAGAGCATGACGATAATAGAGGAAAGCAAAATCCTCGCTGTGGAGCAGTACATTTACATCTACACGCTGATCGTCGTTGCCGTCTTCGTGATCGGTATAACTCGCTCGTTCGCCTTCTACAATGTTTGCATGCGCTGCAGCCAGCGCTTGCACGACCTCGTATTCGGAGCCCTCATCCGGGCGAGCATGCGATTCTTCGACACCAATCCAAGTGGTAGGATCCTCAATCGCTTCTCCAAAGATATGGGCGCGATCGACGAGCTCCTGCCTAAGGCTATACTCGACTCGGCACAGATTATACTTATGATGTTTGGCTCGCTTATCGTCGTCTCGATTATCAATCCGATCTTTCTAGTGCCCATTATTTTTATCGCGTTCATCTTCTATTGGATAAGGAAGATTTATTTGAAGACCAGTAAGAATATCAAGAGACTCGAGGGAATGAGTAAGTAATTAATATATTATGCTGATTAATATACAGTCCGTTCGATAAATAATATGCAAATATCTCGGCCACTCGGATTATCGATAATTATTCGCCTCAATTTGCCTTAAAGCATTATACTATAGTAGCATCAGTAATTGTATAATTATTGAAATTTAAACCTTAAATATACGCATCTCTCGACTATTACTATAAATTTTATAAATTTAGCGTAACTCTATGTTGAGCCAACAAAAACAAAAACGAAACAAAAAACAAAACAAAAAAAAACAAATAAAACAACAACAACAACAACGACGACGACGACGACGACGACGACGACGACGACGACGACGACGACGACGACGACGACGACGACGACGACGACGACGACGACGACGACGACGACGACGACGACGACGACGACGACGACGACGACGACAACGACAACGACAACGACAACAACAAAATCAAAATCAAAAAAAAAAAAAATCAAAAAGAAAAAGAAAGAAAGAAAAAAAGTAAGAAAAACCATAATAGCTCGAGTACTTTTCTTCGCAGTATTACTAATCGAAATTAAGCATTAACGATTATTAACGATAGCCACATTACTTGGTGGGCAAATATTGCGATTTAATGACAATATTACATCGTCTAATATTAGATAATAATTATTTTCTACAGCACGATCTCCAGTTTTCACGCACTTGAATGCAACACTCAATGGACTGACAACCATAAGAGCTTATAAAGCGGAAAAAATTCTTAAAAAGGAGTTTGACAAATTTCAAGACATACACACCTCTTCATGGTACATGTTCATCGCAACCAGTACCGCTTTTGGCTTCTCGTTGGATATATTCTGCTTCATCTTTACCACTTTAGTCACCTTCAGCTTTCTCCTGCTCAAAGAAAGTAAGCAATTGTAGATGTAATTTCGTCATTGACATGTTTTTACAAATTTTCATAAATTATTAGTTAAAAGTGGGGTTTTTTTTTTTTTTTTTTTTTTTTTTCGTTTGTTTGTTTATTTGTTCGTTCGTTTCTTATGATGATATTAAGCATGTAAAAGTTTGTAATGTAATTGATATTGTGCGGTGGTAGGGTTTCTTTTTCTTATTTATTAGAAATTTATGTAAATTGAAGATAAGCGCGAGAGATTATCAGAGCCAAGCTCTGCGACCGGATAGAATAATAATAAAAAAAAATACCTAACTACCTATGAAACAACTATACAACATTTACATGGACTACTCGTTCGATTAGTTGACTTGTTCTTTCATTATGATACAATCATTTTTTGTTACATTTTTTTTTTGTTTTATTTTTTGTTTTTGGTTTATTTTTCTCTCTCTCGTTGATATCGATTATCTATTAAAATCTCATAATTATTTGATCTTTGCTAGTTCTATAAATGCAATATTCAAGAGCATGCATATAGGTAAGTAACTTAATTATTTTTACACCAATTAATATTATAAATAATGAATGGTTTACCTGAAGAGGGTGAAATGAAAAATTTTATATCATTAAGTTTTTGGTTTTGCGTAGCGTAAATGACTCCCATCATAAAATTATGACGAAACATTATATTTGACATTTGACGCTACAAGTCTTATTCTATTAATTTCCTATGCAATCTTACGTTACATTCTGAATCGAAAGTAACATTCTTTTAAGACGAGTTTAAAGTAATTTTTGTCAAATTAGTTATTGCAGGTAGTGTAGTAGATTAAAAATTTTTTATTAATAAAAATATATGCATGTATCGACATGATTTACTTTGGATCTTTTATACGATCTCGCTTAAGTACTCCATTATTATTTATAATTTACAAGGATTGTTATGCTTAGGAACTCTTGATTGCCGTATCATACATTACCCAGTCGATCTATCGGCTCGTTTTAATGTCATTATTGGTGGTATTAGTCTCGAATCCCTTAATAATGAATTTTAATACTTTGGAATAAGTCAGATTGCATAAAGTTTGCGGGCCTCGTTTGTACAGGCAATGATCAGTCGACGTCACTCAGACCTTAAACAAGAGCTAAAACGAACATTGATAAGGTCAAGCGACAAAGTCTTGACGATGATTGACTAATGAAAGGTTTTACTTAGCGTTCACCGGTGGCCAAGTGGGCTTGGCCATAACCCAAGTGATGGCGATGACGGGTATGATACAATGGGGGATACGACAGAGCGTCGAAGTGACGAATCAAATGATGTCGGTCGAGCGGATACTCGAGTACACGGAATTGGTACCCGAGTCAAATCTCCGTGATATGGGCACGATGACCAAGAGGAAAAAGAGGAAGCAGGTGCAGGAGAATATGCTGATCGAGACGCCAGACGATTGGCCGAACCAAGGCCACGTCGAATTCAAAAATGTGTATATGCGTTACTCGGAGGATGATGCGCCGGTACTTAAGGGCCTAACAATGTCGATTCGGCCGAGTGATAAGGTGTGTACATTTTTTCATGTGAATTAATTTTCTCGCGCAATACAATGAACAAGGATGATTAATTAATTATCTAAAGGAAGCAAATGCACAAAGTTATCAAAGATTATTAAAAAAGGCTGTCTAACGATTTTATACTCTTACTCTTGTTTATTACAGAAATTCAATTGGTCTCTCTCTCTCTCTCTCTCTCTCTCTCTCTCTATCTCTATCTCTATCTCTATCTCTCTTTAATGCAAACACATTTCCATATTGTATGAAATTAAAACTAGTAATTTTTTTATTTTTTTTTTTTTTTGTTCAATTGTAACTGTACAATATACTTGAAACGCAAGCCTCTAATTATTTCGAATTAATAGTATTTGCAATGAAATTTTAATTGCAGGTAGGAATCGTAGGGAGAACGGGTGCTGGAAAGTCCTCCTTGATTTCTGCCTTATTTAGATTGGCTAAAGTGGAAGGTGTTATAGAAATCGATGGAATTAATACTGGCAATATAGCATTGGAAGATTTAAGAAAACATATTTCTATTATACCACAAGATCCTGTTTTATTTTCCGGCACATTGCGTCGGAATTTAGATCCATTCGATGAATTTGCCGACAAAGTTTTATGGGATGTCTTGGAGGAGGTATGAAAAATCGGTCGTTAAACATTAACTTAATATATTATTAATTATTATTATCATCGACATGCTCATTATTATTGATTGCCATTACTATGAAAAATATAAATATATATATATATATATATATAGAAAAACATTACAAAGAAAATATTTTCCTGCAATTTGACATAGTAATGCTAATGATCATGAAAATCGTCAATCTTGTAATTTTCTCTTTCACAATCAAATATCACCATTCTTTCGACTTTCGTCTCCCAATTTCTAAAAGTATTTTTACTTTTCGCGCATATATAAAATGGCATAATTGCTTTAACCTGCTCTATTATTAGAATGAGATTTTTTCAACGCTCATTTACATTGAAAGTACTCGCGACCGTTATGTAAAAGTAAAGAAAATTATTGAAGCAAATTCGTAGTGGAAAAAAAAGAAAAAAAAAACGAAAAAGTGAAATGAATGAAATTATCATACGCGTCATTCATGACGTCGTGGTAATATTATCGGCTTATAATATATTTTTATAATCTTGGAATGTGGTGCGGTAGTTGGCTCCGGTCGTGTTTTTTAACGAAATTCCCAAAGCCGCGGACACTTGGTGCCCTAATGCCACCATCCCAGTTACGCCAGTCTCGTTTAAAATTAAAATCGCTCCTCGATAAAAAAAAAAATCTCTGTTCGCGGCAAACGCCAAGGTCGAGCTGAAGGACGCGGTAATGGCAAGTGGCAATGGGCTGTACAATCGGGTCCTCGACCGGGGCTCGAATTACAGTGTCGGCCAGCGGCAGATGATCTGCCTGGCCCGGGCGATCCTGCGCAACAATAAGATCCTAATGCTGGACGAGGCCACGGCCAACGTCGACCCACAGACGGACTCGCTCATACAGCGCACCATACGCAACAAGTTCGCGCCCTGCACCGTACTAACCATCGCCCACAGGCTCAATACCATTATGGACAGCGACAAAGTGTTGGTCATGGATAGGGGTCGTCTTGTTGTAAGTACATTTGAGTTGGCAGACGGTTTGTTTTGTTTTTTTTTTTTTTTTTTGATTTTTTTTTTGTCTTTAAACTTTGGTCGAGATCGGGTAGCGGGACGACTGCCGCTGAGTTTGCACACGTTAATAATTATTTATTCGTTTCTTTCGATCGTTTGACGTTGATTGACGTATCGCGAATTTGCCGGCATGTAAGATGCGCCTATTTAAATTTATTCGCTTATTCAAACGAAACTTATCGATATGAATAAAATCATCTTGTACGTGGGATATTTAACTTCGCTTTATAAATCGATACTCTCGGCAGAGTATTGCAAGTTGGACGTAAGTAATGTAAGGAAAAATTACGCTCATTTAAATGAAATACAATGCTGACATTTTATTGCTTTGAAATAAGTTTTACGTTGTAGACGAAAGGCAGCATTGCGTTTGAAATAACGAGAACAACAGGCAGAGACAGTTTTTAATAAATGTTCCATGGTCTTAATATTTTTTCTTTCCTTCTTTCTTTCTTTCATTCTTTCTTTCATTCATTCATTCTTTCTTTCTTTCTTTCTTTCTTTCTTTCTTTTGTTTTCAGGAATTTGATCATCCACACATTTTATTACAAAACGAGTACGGACAATTCACATCGTTAGTGAAGGAAACGGGACGCGCCATGTACGAACAGCTTTTCAAAGTTGCGAGCCAGGCTTATTATGCCAAGCGCACGGAAACATAATAATGCTGACTTTTACATCTCGTTATTGTTACAAATTTACCAAGAAATCGTATGATATGTTCAATTAAACAAAAACTCTTCATCTATCGTTCGTCTATTAAGCGATGGCTTAAATCTGAAAGCTCTCATCTGAAACAAATTCATTGCCAAGTAATGACTTTTGCCATTACTTATTTACAATTAAAAAAAAAAAAGAAAGAAAAAGAAAAGAAAAGAAAAAAATTATCGCATCAGACAGAATATTACTTCGAAACAATACTTCATTTAAGTAGATAAAATTTCATTAAATTTCGATGTTAGGAAATTTTTCATTTCTAAAAAACCAAAAATAATTTCACAAATCTTTATTAAATAAAAGGTAATTATATTACACGAGCGAGTAAATATTATTCTTATAGCATCATCAACTATCTTCCTTCATTATAACTTATGATTGATTACATTGATCGAAATTTGTGGGACGTTAAAATAATTTCAACGCACTTGAAACAATTGTTTGCTAATTTTCTTATACATAGATAAATATTCTATAAAATGAATAGTTTGGTGCATTGATAATTCATATATTAATAAATAATGTTAAATATAAATCTTTCATTATAAAAAATGCCCTTAAAATTAATGTTTTTCATCCTTTGGTAGGCCTAGTTAGTGGTTAAGTAGTATTATATTTTAATTAATATTTTATAAAATTTTTTAAAAATTCTTAAATCTTGTAGCTATCACCATTTAGTTATCAAAATGCTTTAATCTAAGATTCTATACTATTAATATAAATATATTAATATATATATATATATATATACAAAGTTTCTGGATTGTTAATTATTTGAACAAAGTTTTTGTCTTTTAATATAAAATAATGAATTTAAGATGTAATAATAAAACATTGCGATTAAATTAAACAAGTAATAATTTGGATAAATATTATAGAATTTTGAATAACTTATGAATCACATCAATTTTTTATTAAATGAGCAATTATAAAACTACAATTAACAATTAATAATGAAAAATTTCTACATTAGTTCGAAAACCATATATTTTTAAGCCATTTATAGATATTTACATTTACATTATAAAATTTGTATAAGCAGTTTATTTCAAATCAAAGGAAAAATCATTTGGAATAATCAGTAACTGATTTTTTCAAGTAAATTTTAGGAAACACCGTCAAAGAAAATCACAATGTTTTAATCTTGAAGATTTTTTATAATTATAATTTACCTAATTATCAGTTTAATTTTAATTTAATTATAGTAATAAAATATTTTAAAAATTTATCTGTTAAAAGTTAAAGCAAATATTCAATATATATTATTTGAATGATTATATATTAACAAATCTACATTAATAATTTAATAATTCATATTTATATGATACCATTAAATACAAAGATGTAATGTAATTTAATATCTAATGTAATTTAAGTTATATATGTGTGTGTGTGTGTGTGTGTGTGTTAAAAGAGGATGTTTATTAAAATTAAGATATTTCGAAATTAGGATTTAAAGAAATTCGAAATTATTATATTTATAGACAATAGTTTTTAAAAAAAATTTTAAGAAAAAGCCAATCAGGATAATCAGGAAACTGAAAAATTCATATTGCATAAAGAATCCATGTTATTATTATACAGAATTTATACTAAAAATTATGCAAGTATTATAAATATACTCCACTAGAAAAACATTGATTTGTTATTCAATTAATCAAAAGTTATTTATATAGTGTCATTAATTTTCTTATGTTTCTAATTAAAGCCTTAATAATTGTCTATTATTAATGCTATAAAATCTCATTTTTGTATCAATGTTATTGTATTAAAAACATTTCTATTTTCTTATTCTATTACTTAAGGATTTTTATAATATAGAATATCGTAATCTGATAATCAATTTTATTATATAAACATTTTCTATTTTCTTATTCTATTTAAAAAATTTTATATCGTAAAATATAATAGTCTAATAATGTAAATATAATTACAATCTTTCAGGAAGCTTCAAACTACTTCTAATGCATAACTTTACAGAACTTAAAGTTTTTGCGATAATATATTACTTATTTTTATAATAATTTTAAAAAAAAAAAAAAAAAAAAAAAAAAAAAATAAGCTAAATAAGCCGTCAAAATGATCTAATACTTTAAAGTTTACTTTGAGAACATCGTTATAAGCCTAATACAATTATATAAATATATATATATATATATATATATTTTTTTTTTTCAGAAAACTTTTATACATACTTCTGAATATATTTATATAAATACAACATAAATCGTACTTATATTAATATCATTTATGGTATTAATAAATATTAATATTAAACTATATTATACGTGTGTATGTGTGCGTATGAATGCACATGGGTATACATACATATATATATTTATATATATATGTACTCGATGCGTATGCTTATTATATTAAAATTAATCGTCACGTTAAATCTATGTACATAAATGCAAATTATTCTGTGAAAATATCTTTATTGTATAACAAATAAAATAAATTTACTATATCAATAATGGTTTTCAAATTTAAAAAATTCAACTTTTTTATAATCAGAATTTTTATTTCGTTACAGATATGCAGACGAATACAGATTTTATAAAATCAATTTTTGCATGAATATAAAAAATGTAGACATGCAAAAGTTGGATATACTTGTGCTGATTGATGCAAATTCATTTTACAGTTCATCAAATTAGTTATTAATTTTAGATAAATTTTATGAAACAAAAAATAATACAGTCGTAAAATGATTTTGTAACTATATATGCACATTTTTAAATTAATTATTAATACACAGGCTTTATACATTAAATCACATTGAAATATATGATGCGACGTATCATCATCAATAGGTTCATAAAATTATTACTCTTGTTATCAGACTATAAAGTTTTATCACTTTCTTTAAGATCTATTGCACGTTTTTCAATTTATATACAAAGTAAAGTGTAAAATATTTGTCTCCGTGTCTTAAATAAACAATGTTTTTTTTTATTATTCATTAGTATTTATATATAAAATTTCATTTATTTGTTTTCTGTCATGCCATTCCACGTCGTGAGTAAATGAATGTATGGCTAAGAAATAATTGAATGGAGTATTTTTTTTATTTTAGTTGAAGAGATATTTTGCAAAAGGAGTACTAGCTTCAATTGTAATTTATATTACTATTTAATGATGAACACTGATGCTGTCTAATATTTGTCATTTTATCTACAATCATTGCAGAAGGCATCAGTTCCTAGACATTTCTTAGATGCAAACGTTTTAAGAAAACAGTTGTTTCATTTTGTACACACTCTACCGACCTGACATTCACTGAATTTAAATAATAAAGATTCAAACAAACATTGAAATTAAATGATTGAAAATTAATTGCTTAAAATATTTATTTCATTATGCTCCAAAATATACTTTTTTTCTTTTATTTTCCAATACATTATCCATTTGTTTTCAATATTTTATTAACATTTTTATCGAAATCATGTAATGACTATATAATAATATAATATTTGGCAATGCTTCTTCAAATGCCTCTATTAACGTTCTTTTAAGTCGCATTCATAGAACTATATATTTTGAAATTAAATTGTTATAAAAATAAAATGCCTCTTTTCTTAAAATGTTTCCATTGAGAATAGATATTTTTAATTCATTTTTAAAATTTATACTTAAATATAAACAAAAATATCAATGTCTTAACATTATTTAACACACAATGTGCAATTAATTTTTCTATAATTTCAATTTAAAGTATAAAATATAACATATTTTTTAAAATGAATAAAAAATTATTTTTATACTTTTGTTATCAAATAATTTGGTTATGATTTTAAATAATTTAAATTATATTGAAAGTCTAGTAATACAAACAATTAATCGCATAAATTATTATTACAAAAAAGCTTAAAGAGTCTTTTAGAAAATATAAATGCCAAACTTGTTTTCTTTCCTAATTTTGACGGTAAAACTTAATACTCTATAATTATTCATAAATTGAGTATTAAAATAAAAATTTTAGCTACATAATTCCAATGTAACCCGTCTTCTTTCTAAAATCGCTTCATTACTTAGCGATTATGTGGAAGAGCTCTTTCATATCTTTCTCTTGACTGTTCCTCTGATTCACTCAATAACATGTATATTTCTCACATTATATACTCAGTTTATATGTGTTGCGCATAGACATAGAACCTGTTTGTACAATTTTTGTTCATATTTCATATATTTTCGTTATTATTAATAATCTTAAAAAATAACTAGATGTAAAACATATCATCTTTCTAACAAGGTAATTACAAAATAAGAAAAACGGAAAGAGAAAAATAACATGCTTTTTCTCGTGTATGTTTAAATACAAAATTAACGGTTTTTAATTAGATGATTTTATAAGTTATATAAATATTTGTAATGGTAATTGTGTAAAATTAATAATGGTGACAGAGATAAACAAAAAGTGCACATTACAAGGATTAAAATGATCCCATGTCTAGTGCCAAATTTAAGGATATTTAGCTCATTGTAACCTTAATTCAAGTATCATTTACAGTTATATCATTCAAAAATTTAATGTCTACTTTAATTTCTGATCCAATTAAGTCAAATAATGACTTATTATTTGTTTACCTACTTTACTTTTAAAAAGTAATATCAAACGTAATTTTAACAAAATGTAAGGTCAACCAAGAATTTGAAGAAGTTTCTTCAATTGTTTAAAAAAAGCATGTATATTAGTTTTTATAAGAAAAATACTTTTTTTTAGAAAGTGTTAAATTAAGTGTTAAATAATTTTCAATGGAGAACTCGTTTGTTTGTTTGTTATATCTTTGATATACATACAGCTCATTTCAATTCATCCTAATCAGATTAAATGTAAACTTATTTAAATAGATTATGCAATTATAATGTTAAAAGATATTGTATGATATAACAGTCTTAAATATTCCTAATAAAACTATACAACACCTTCTATGCGACTAATTTTCATTGTATAATAATAGAGGCTTCTTCCAAGAAAAAGAAGCGCAATAAGGAATGCACCTGGAAAAATAATATAATTGATTATTTATATTAAAAGTAAAAGAAAAGAAAAGACAGAAAATTTGTTTGCAATTATTTTTACAAAATGTATCTATTTTTTTTTTAATTTATCTATTTATTTAATAATTTAATATGAAATAAACATCTTGAGTTTATATAAATAAATTAAAGAAAGTATTCGATGAAATATAACTAGAATGCAATTACTGATTATTATACAAGAAAAAGTTGTTTACTAGGGAGTCATAAATTTATAAACATAAATCAATAATAATAAAGATATTATTATATAGATAAATTAACAAAAATTTTAAACTACTTTTACTTTAACACCATAAAGAAAAATTGTAAATACTACTCAAATTATTTCAATTTGATAATTTAAATAATAATTAAACACCAGACAGATATTAAACAGTATTGGAGAATTTATTATACATACCAACATAAGCAACATAGATTCCTTCATTAAGATATACAAGTGTGTATGTTGCAACCTGGAAATAAAATTTATTTAAAAAAAAGCTTTGAAAACTGATAACTTGAATAAAGTTCATTTGAATTAAAAATGTATGAATGTATAAAGTAATATATAAAGTATAAAGGCCAAGTATAACGATATGAAATAGTAACAACTACATATTACTATCTATATTTATTCTCTTTGTTTAATACACCATTAATTCCCCTTCTTTTGCTCTGTTTACTTTTCTCTGTTTACCGATATGTTTACCTCAATTCACAGTATTTACTAATGTAATATATAATTGCCTCATTAAAAATACAGTCAAATTAGTATATTTGATAATATTATAACCATTTCTTAAAATACCTTGCATTCAATATGCATTTATAATGAAAAATGATAAATATTTCTTACTATAAACAATTTAAATGTATTATTTAACAACCCAATTATATGAAATGTATTGTGATTATAAATGAAATTGTATAAAATGAACCGATATTTAATATTTATATTTTAGTAAAATTTATTATATAATAGACCCTGGGATGTTAAATCTATAATTTAATACAAGTTCAATTATTGAAAAATGCACTAATTCAACAAATTAATTACAATAATCATTTCGTATATTCACGCATGTTTCAATTGCAATGATATTATAATATATAATTAAATTGAAATAAAATTTTTTGAACAATTTATTATGCCGAGGAAAATCTAAGGCTCTTAATGAATTTTAATTGATTTAAAACTAATAAGAAATCATTTGCGATTATTTAATAAAAGATATAATTATTAAGATGAATTATGAAATGTACTTAACAATGAGTTAATCTACCAATAGTTATTAACACATACATATATCATTTGGATAAAATAACAAGAATGTTTTATTATTATAAAACAATTCTTTCGCACTTTTTTACAACTTGTTTTAAAAGCTTAAAAAAATATATATATAAATTCTTTTAGAAATTTATTATACAAACTAAATGAAAAAAAAAAAAAAATTAATCAATAGAATGTAATTAGTGTTTAAACAACTTACCGTTATAATAATTCCAAGAATTAAGCTAATGACTCCAAGAATAACAAAAAGGGTTCCACGTCCTCGTGCAAAATCTGGTCCAACGGATGATATTTTTCGACAGTGTGGACAGCGTGCCAAAGCATTATTTAATGTATTAAACTACAAAATAAAGCGTTAATATTATAATGACTAGGGATGACATCGTTGTTTTTCCAACATTTCTTATGCTTAATAAAAAGAAAATATATGCATAAGAGTACCTAGTGCGTAATATTTTAATTTTTCATTCATTGACAAAATCCGAATATATCCATAAGAATTTAAAAACTCATAAAATAATAAATTTCTTATAAGGGTCTTATTGATTAATATGTTAGCGGGTTTAAAAATTTTTTTTGCCAAATTTACCAGAAATGTATCATGACAATGGCCACAAGAAACTCGACACATTCCAGGCATTGACAGAGCTGGTGGCGTTACCGGACTAGGCGCTAAATTAATTATTTGTTTACAATTAGGCCTCGGACAGGCAATTCTCTGCGACGAACTTTTACATATGAGCAAACAGTTGCACGGACATCGTACATATTTCTTTCCAGCAGGAGCATTTTTTATGGGCTAAAACAAGTAAGTCAAGTACAATTATTAACAATTAGTCGAGAAAAAGTTAATATCGTGCTTATAAACATTTGAGAATGCGACACTTACAGTTGCTTCGTTACACTGATTACACTTGACAACATGCTGATCTCTTTTACCACATATATCAATCATTGCTTGACAAACTCTGCACGTGACCCTGTGCATACTACCCTGAACAGCTTGATAAGGCGGTGGTAATTCATCGGGACCAATAGAAGCAACCGTGTTGACTTGTTGCTCTGTTTCTGCTCCTCCTATATTTATATATAGTATACGATTGTATTGCGTTAACGAGAAAAGAATTAAAATCATTTGTTTGATTAAGCGAGAGAATGAGCATGATTTAAGGATGAGGTTAGATTAAAGGATAGAGTATCTTTTATAATGAATTGTATTATTAGTATTATCTATGATATTAAGCTAAAGAATCGATTAATAGCAACTATAAATGCAAATTAATTCTACAACAATGGAATAGATTATCGCTTAAGTTCAGTTTGGATGGATTATAAGAGAAATTTTGAATTTAACTTTGTATCAATCGAAGATTGAATTATTATAATACTTTTTATGTTTTATTGTAAGGCAAGAAATAAAAGATTGAATATCAGCACTGGCTAATTAAATATTTCAATGTCGTAACAATGTCAAATTGTGCAAATAAAAGTGTATAAGATTGTAATTGGCCCAAAATTCATATTAACTTATTTATAAGAATATTTATTGCCCGATCAATTTAGACACGAGACCTTCTTTATAACTCAAACAAACATAACTCAGGTAAAAGCTATTTTACACGAGGAAAGAAAACATTAAGTTTTTCTTATAAATGGATAAAAGAAAAATCGCTCCATGCTAAGAGATTATTCTATCGATGCTGTTTGTTGTTACTATTATGGGAGCAAAGTTGAATATAATATATAAAAGCGTACAATTTAATCGGGTTGAAACCAAGCATTACACCATAATAATTTAATCTAATAATTCGAATGAAGAAATTTAACGTACATAATTGAAAAAAAGCACTATTTATTGCAAAATTTCAAAGCTTTGGCCTCACTGTCAATCACGATTCAATAAACAAATCTTAACATCCTCCTTGCAAAATCCATCCACATGTATAATAAATTTAATCGAATGCAAAACTAACGTGCTCAACACTAATGATGAAATAGCTCGTCGGCACTGTCTCAATCAAATAAGTAATCATCCATCAAATTAATGACATTATAATAGCGATTAACATTATGCGCAATCTGGCTCGTCAGCATTAACACTTAAATCGTAAAATCCGAACACAATCCCGCATAGCGCGATATTTACTCACTACTTATAAACAAAAATAAACAATGCAAGGAACCGCGTAGTGCCCGTATCCGAATTTCCAATGAGCCATTCATTGGATGGTTGGGAATTGTTTTTGAGCTACTTGTCAGGCCATTTACCATACAGTTTCGGCAGGGTTTCATTTTCGCTCCTCAACAGTGGTTGCCGCTCGTTGTCTTTTTCTTCGTCCATAGTTCCTTATCCCTCGGCGACAGCCAAACCTACGGCAACGACGTTGACGACGTCGACGACGTTGAACTCAGAAATTCCTCGCTCTTCCACTCCCCCGTTGATTGTTGAGGCACCAAACACTGTAATGACGTGCTCTCGGTAAAGTCAATGCTGATTGCGGGAGGGCGCTGTGATCGCGTTCTGCCAGCATAAAGGATGAGAGAAATTAAATCGCAGGCGGGAGATTTGAACGTTCCGTCCCTGCTAATGTAACGACCGATCGAGCTAACGACGATTGGAAATAAATAATAGACGGATGTCGTGGCGTTTGAGTGCTATACTAACACGAGCAGGTCCCGTTCGTTTCGTGGTTGTCCAGTGATTATCTTAAGTACTTACGCACGATTATTGATTTAACGAGTCAGGGTTTTAAGTTTTACTTTGTCATTGGATGTACGTGCGTGAGTGCGTGCGTTAACTCGCGCTAAAAAAAACTATTTATCTTATTACGATCGGCAATATAGAAAGGGCACGGGATTTCTCGATAACATGTCATTTGCCAGCGAGTCGAGGGAACACTGATTGGCGAAACAGAAAATTTTTTAAATATTATTTATTTGAAATTGTGACTTATTCGCAATTTAGTAATCGACATTTCATCCTCGTTGTTTTACAATAACCATGCATAAATGATGAACGACGACGGGTAGTTGTGCCGAACGACGGAATATTTGACGAGAAGTGGAAGGGACAAAATGTCAAGGGAGGAGAGATAGAGAGAGAGAGAGAGAGAGAGAGAGAGAGAGAGAGAGCGAGAGAGAGAGAGAGAGAAGAAAAGGGTTACGTGGATGAAGTAACGCGATTATTACGCCCGTAATTCTTAAACCCGTATGTTAACGATCTTTTATTTAAAATTAATCGAACTAAGTCTGTTGATACGTCTCGAGAGGAGATTACCATGTCAAGTTTAGTTAATCGCTCGTCCCTTCATTATCGAGGCAGGATACATTATTGAAAGGTGTTGGAGTAGTTACGAGCGTACGTCTACATTATTCATTCGAACGATTCTTCCGGAATGCTGCGGTGAAAGAAAGCTCAAGAGGCTATCGCGATGAAAGCAATTGCACCGAGAGCACACGTATTTCAAAACACAGTGTCTACAAATTCACTGCACTAGTCAAATGTTGATTTAGCTAATTGTACATAAGTTCGGCCCCTTCCGCCCCGGTAGGCAATAGCAACCTAAGCCCGTAACTCCTTACCCTGCGCCTATCCCAAAGACGAGGAAAAGAAGTCGCCGATGTTGAAAGCTAGGACTTGCCACGATTATTAGTACTATCAAGGCGATGGCTGCAGCTCTTGCGGCTCACCACGCAACTACTAATTCGCAGTCTGATGCTCGCTACTAAGGGGAAAGAGGCAGTATTAGGACGCGAAGGGGAACAACACGTGCGCGACGAGTTACTCGACGACAAATGAGAATGCTAGGCGAGAGAGTCGAAAGAAAAAGTGATCGCGAAGGGAAAGCAAGTCAGCGAGACGACGGACGACGACGACGGACGACGACGACTGCGCTGTGTTGCTGGGTCAGCAGGCCATTTCTTCAATCGTCTACGGCTTATTCGCACGCGCCCACACCCAACCCACCTATACCTTTAATAAGCGCGTTACCTTATTCCGGCTTCTCGCCGAGAGAAAATCCCAACGCAACACTCAACTTCTCTCCCGAATACGAATAACATAAAATGAATAAGAGCTGCTTTTTGACGAATTTCAAACGATTTGGCATAGGGGACGGCATTTCATTTTTTTTTTTTTTCATATCACCAAGACTAATTCACGCACACGAGATTTGAGAAAATACTATTTAACGGCATTGATTGTTTGTTCGTTCTTCCCTTTAAATTGCTTATTTATTCTTATTTAAATTCATTTAAATAAGATTTAAATATTCATAATATTTATGATGATAACAATGATGATAACAATGATAATACAACTGAAGCTCGATATATATATATATATATATATATATTTATATATGTGTGCGCGTGCGCGTGCGTGTGTTGAATATGCATGTTATGCTATTCACATTATGAATTCATGAAGACTCTCAATGTTCAATTACAATTTGTTATTTCAATTCTTTAGTTATTGTTAATAATTTCATATTTTATTATTCGCAAATGTTTATGAAATCAATATTTACGAATACACGTTGTTAAAGAATTTTCCTTCATACCTCGAGAAGATATTGCTAAAATTAAACGTCACGAATTTTTTATTTAGTTTGCAAAAAAAAATTGTAAAATATCATAATCTTTATTTATCATTGAAAATAAATATTTTTCGTTATTAGTAAAATATCTTGTGCTTTATTATATAATTCTAAAAATTAAATTATCATAAAAATCCCTATTGGACGTGTTAAAAAAATCGTATTTATTATTGAAATATTGAATTCTCATTAAAAAGAAAAAGTATATTGGATATTTAAATTTAGAATGTATAAATTATGTAAAATAACATATTGAGTATGCAATTGGTTTATATAATATTACAAAGTATTTCATTTATATTTTTTCTTTTTTATTAAAATACGATATATTAAAAAAATATAGAATTTAAGATAAATTAATAAATATTTTTACAATACTGCTTCGTTTATTTAATAATAATAATAATAATAATAATAATAATAATAATAATAATAATAATAATAATAATAATAAATTCTTTCTCGAGATATATAATTTATAACAACATTTTTATGTATTGTTCGTACATAATAACTTGAATATTAATTATAATTGCCTATTCTTTTGTGAATTAAAAAAAAATCTCTTTCTCAGTACTATACGTATTCATAATAAATTCAATAAGCAATTTTACTCATATTATAATCGTAACGGAATTACAGTTGCATTTTTATTTATGAGAATGCACTTGTAAGTCTCATTCCTAAAATTTAATACGTTTTTGTAGTTAGTGTCGAGATATGTTGTCCATAAAATATATGCAGTTTAATTGGGGGGGGGGGGGATGGTTGCGCTAGTGGTGGTGGCGACATTGTTGCCATAATGGTCGTTGCTCTTGTTAATTAAATTTTATTTGAGAAAACATTTTGCCAATTACTGTACTTGATGTCGATTTTGCTTGAGAAAGACTACCAAAGTCAGATATATCGCAACGAGTTTAATACAGATTGAATTATTTTTTAATCTAGTATGCCGTCATTGTTGTTTTTCTCAAACGACGAGGCTGGAATTTACGACACTAAATTAATGCAATTATATGCATTCTCATTATTCTCTATTCGTTTCAATAATTGACTTACTACGAGCATAATTTTCTCATATTCGAAAAACACTTGTAATTCTTACATAATAGTTTTTAATGTTTGCGTATAATAATGTCTTTATACTGATTGTTATAGCTTTTAAATTTTCTGCTCTTTTGCACTATTTGCACGAGCGTAAGCGACAATGTGTGCGTACGACACGTGCTCGCGCGATGAAGTAAATGGTTGAAATTCTTGAAAAATTATCAGAACCATTTGACTAATTCCATAATACGGCAAATAAAGGGAATTGAGATGAGAGAGTAAGAAAATTATTTAATTTTTATGGTAATAAGCCGTAATAATAAGGTGTAATTTTTACATCTATAGATACATGTTTGAGCGAATGTGTAGTTTACTAGTTTTTGGTTTACAAAGCCTTTGGTAATGCGAGCCAAGGCTTTGTGCAATAATCCATTGTGTACGCGAATTAGCCGATGAAAAATGATATCACTTTATTCTTTCGACTCTTATCATTACACGCTTTTCCATCATTTTCCTCGTCAACTTATGATACAAGTGATCCTAATGTATAATGCACTGATCGAAAAGCTTTCTACATACGCGATTGTGGCGCTATACGGATAAGTTGCACCGAGCTTATTTATTATCTCGCGTCTACATCGAATTATTACGAATTTATGTGAATTTAATTGGGAAATTCATCTAATGACTGGCGCCGCCGTGCCCATTAATATAACATCTTCAATGTATAAAATTTTGGCCTTTAAAATAATATATTTACAATATCAGATACCAGCGATCCATCGATTACCACATAAATGATAAATGTCCGTGCGTGCTGCAGCACTTTCGTAAATTGCCACGGAAACATCAGGACAATAATTAATTTCTTCATAAGCAATTGTTCCTCTAAATGCAATGTCGGAAAGCGACGTGCGAAACTATTATACCAATGCAATTAGTATTTAGCCGATAGATCAACGATGAGATTTGCATCGAAGACTGCCGGTTTATTGGTGCGCGATGAGATCAATGGTATAGCGAAAACGAAGGAATTCACGATCTCTACGATTAAATTGACATCGCAGCAGCGTTGTAATTTAGCCGTCCATCTATTGATTAGCCAATCAAGTGATTTACGGTGCGAAGGTGGCGGCGATAAGGACACGGGGCTTGGGATATCACTTGACGACACGGAGCGAGATGACGTCCCGTGTCAAATGACAAGCTCCGTTCACGTTCGGCACGACGCCTGGCAAATTTTCGCAAGTCAGAAGGAATTGTTGGAGGACAATTTGTCGAAGGCTCTTTTCCTACTAGATGGCTAGATGGTTACATGGATGGATGGCCACCGAGTAGCGCGCGTTACAATACAAAGATGAAAGAAAGAAGAAAAAAAAAAAAGACCTCCACCACCACCACCACCACAAATCGCCAATCGCCAATCGCCAATCGCGCAACTCGCGGTCTTTGCAAATTTACCGCCTTTACCTCGCGCGCACTACACGATGTCGTGGATCGTGGCTGCAAGCTCCGCGTGTCCGTCGGTAAGTCGCTAGTCGTTGGGTTTCGTACGCAAGACCACGTTCCTACGGCTTCGTCACGGGTATGCGGGGAGGGGAAGCGTCGGTCTAAGCACGCAGTGCCCGTACCTTTACCACGATCCAAGCCACTCCGACCACATCGTCAACGCCAACGCGGCTCCGTAGCTCACGGGTACGCCTGGCAGCAGTCAGCGCCGGACAATGGCTATGGATTGGGTAGCGCCGCGAGGGGTAGGGGAGACAGCAGACGACGCTCGATAACGTTCCGATGGCGCCACCTGGAGGCAGTATCCATCGCCGTGTTGGTCGGGAAGCCGAGGATGGAGGACCGCGGACGATTATTCGGCACTAGCGCCTTTCTATCATCGAGCTGTCCATCGGCATAAGCAGCCCAGGTTCCGCGCGCATCGGTGACCCGCGAGGAGCGAGAAGGATCAAACGGTAACGGCAGCGGCAGCGGCAGCGGTAGCAGCAGCACTAGCACTACTAGCACTTTCACCACTACCATCGTCATCATCATTGTGACTACTATTGCCAACACCATCACGAGCAGCAGCAGCAGCAGCAGCAGCAGCAGCAGCAGCAGCAACAACAGTCGTATCAACGGCAACGGCAACGACAACGGCAACGGCAACGGCGACAGCAGCGGCGGCAGCAGTAGTAGCGGTAACAGCGCTAACAGCGTTAACAGCGCTAACAGCAGCAGCAATTTTAGTTGGGTGCGGCGGAAAGAGGAGAGCGAGGGGGCGCGCACGCGCGCGCCTGCGTGCGGACGAGCTCGAAAGGAAGGTTCGGTTTCGGCTCGGGCGCTGACGACAACGGACAGCGGAGGGAGCGGTGACTCGTTGGCGGCTCGAGTTGCGCGCGAATGAAGGAGCGAGCTGCAGGAGCCGAGGCGAGCGAGCGATAGCTCAACCAGCAGCACTGGGCCGCGACCAGGAAGTTCCAGAATTTCCGAACTCCGCGAAGGATCGTGACCGCGAGAGGAGCTAGAAGAGGACGAGCCGAAGGTGTGCGTGTGTGTGCGCGCGTGTGCGCGCAGACCCGCTCGGTTAAGCGCGCGCGCGCCACTCGCGCGTGTGCCGTTTTGCGCCCTGTGTGCGCCGCGTGTGATAGGGGAGAGTGCGCCGCAAGGAGATTCCGCCGTCGTAGCCGTCGTTGCCGTCGGCCGAACGTACGCGGAGACACGGCCCGGCTGACTGGAGGGCGCGCGTGTGTCTGCCCACGGCGGCAGCGGCAGGAACAAGAGGAGGAGGAGGAGCAGCTACAGGAGCTGGAGCTGGAGCTACAGTAGCAGCGAGAGTAGCGGTAGCAGCGGCGTCGACGAGGAGCCCCAGCGAGCCGTCGTACCTTTCGTGCGAGGCAGGGCGCGGGCCGAGGTCGGCGCTGCTGAGGAGCGGAGGTACGAGCGTAAGAGAGGGAGGGAGGGAAGGAAGCCCACGTCAAAGGCGACGGTAGAACAGCAGCCAAGCGGATCCGGACGAGCCGACGTCATGTCCGACCGGGAGAGTCTCGACGATCAGCCGCAAAGTGAGTATAGGCCGTTGCTCCGGCTGTCGTGGGCTCGCGAGGGGAGTGGCGGTTAGGGGGGACGACTGCGAGGGCTGTAGGACGGCCGGGCGGGAGGGAGGGAGCTCGCATGCACGAACGGACGAACGATGCGAGAAAGGTAATGCGCGCGTGTGCGTGCGTGTGCGTGCGTGTGGTCATTGCCGCGGTGGGGACAGGGGGGAGGACCCATGGGAGGGCCAGAGGTCGCGAGCAAGTAGCGCCGCGAGGCTCTGCTGGATCGGTGGGACCGATGGACTTTCCGGGCCTCGTGGCTTCACACGTCGCGATCATCGAGTCCTCGGGCCCACGTACTTCCTGCCCGCCCTTCTGTCAGGCAGCTCGTGAAAATTGCCTATTTCTTTGCCAACGGAACTCGGGGATCCAAGATGGCCGGTTCACCTATACGTCGGTACGTGCGGCGCATGAGCGCCTTCAAATCAACGAGGGCGCGCGCGCGTGTGTGTACATGATAGATAGATAGATAGATAGAGATAGATAGATAGATAGAGAGAGAGAGAGAGAGAGAGAGAGAGAGAGAAAGAAAGAAAGAATTCGCGTTACTACCCGTCTCGATGCTTGTGTTCTGCTCCATGTCTCCCACTCAGCCCGACCCCCTCCGCGCAACTCATGAGGCGTGCGCGAGCCAAACTATTCGCCACAGATTTGCAACTTCCGATGTTGCCGTTCACCATGGTCTCGTAGTAAACGTCGCTCTCACCATCCTCGTCTTTGTCCTCGTCCTCGTCATCGTCTTCATCCTCATTCCCATCGTCGTCTTTTTTATTTCATTTCATTTCACCGATGATTCATCATCGACATTATATATCATAAAGACAGAGATGGAGCCGTGGATGATATTGAGACCACGCGGTTAAAATGTATATTGACGAGCATCGGCCGACTCTCTATATCTCTCTTTCTCTCGCTGATACTCTCGCAAATTCTCTTCCTTCTCGACATCCGCCCCCCCCCCCCCGCCCACACACCAATCACTTATTTAGCCATGCCAAATGCTCTTTTGTCTCGTGGATGATCTTTTGTTTCGCGAGCACGGATCTTCGTAACAGCTGTCATCGTACGACCTGGCGTTCATCGCTCAAGAATCCAGGAACTTTGGCGGAGCTTTGTATCTAAACTGGTCTCGCGCTCCTCGCAACTTTACGGGTCGGCCTCTCGTTTGCATTTTTCTGTCATTCGACGACCATCGAGACTGCCATCTCTCTCTTACTCTCTCTCTCTCTCTCTCTGTCTGTCTGTCTGTCTTACTCTTTATCCGCATTTTATTCCCTGCGCTTCACACTGACATTAGCATTTTTAATCTCGCACGCAGAGACGAGACCAGTGCAACAGCCCAAACTATTTCTATCTTGCATAGTTAATGGCTAGAACTTGGTCGCGCTTCAAGTTCCGAAACTTATAAAGGTTATAAAATCGTTAAATGCCGCGAGCTTCGAGGGCTTTAGGAATAATCTCACTTATAATGAAACTCGGCTTTAAATAATCACAATATGTGCGTTTATAATGAGGTGCATAATATGGATTCGTAGGATTTTCACGAGAATGGCCGGTATTGCGTGCGAGTGCCTGGTAGAAGAAGAATGAATGAACCGTTGCATATGATAATCGAGGAAGATCCCCTATGAAAATGTTAAATATAGAAAGCGTCGGTCGCTTGTTAACGGGAATTACCCTCACATAAATATTTCGTTCCCCGAGGATATCCATCCGCAGGCGCCTCGACGACACTCTAAAACCTCGTTTCATCAAAACTATTCGCCATGATCGTCGGGCCATTGCAAGCGAGGCTCAATTAGTCGAGGAAGCAGCTGTTAATTTATCTCCGGAGTTATCGACTACGGTCCCACGTGTGATGTAATTCCCTGCCTCTAGTTCTGGTACACGAGCGCGCGCGCGCCTTCCTCCTTCTTTTATCCGTCCAGCCGCGCGACTCTCCTGTCCCCTCCTCCCGTTCACGCTTCGCGCGCTTGACCGCAAAAGCGGATTAGCGAAAGATGCCGAGGAGATGGAAGAACAACCCCCCGTGGCAGTGCGAGGAGGTGTAGGAGGCAACGGTCGAGTTGCGATACGGGAAAAATGATTTAAAAATTTGTCGCTCCGGGCGAGATGATGGAAACAGGCGGCGGTGGAGGCAGGGGGGAGCGGCGGGCGATGTTGGTGTCGGGCGCACGTGCCGTCGTCGAGGCTCTTGGCCTCAAGAACAACCCGACTATAGAAAAAGCTGTACAATGCGCTCGAGCCTCTCCGTCCCTTCGTCGTTCCCCCGCTCGTCCCCTCCGCCCAGCCACATGAAATAATTGCCGTTTGTGCGGTGCCCAGGCACACGCTTAATCCACAGCACCGACTAACGGGGTGAAATTGTTATTATTATTATTATTATTATTTTTTTTAATTCTATTTTTTGCAGAGTATGGAGCCTCTGGAGGTATGGACGCCACCGGTGCCGACTTCGACTCTGGTGAGTGGAACCGATGAAATCTTTTTGGCTCTGCGCATGTGCCCGTGCAGAGCCCGTGCACCTGGGCGGGTACGGGTCGCGGAGAAAGGAATGACGGGGGTGGGAAGGAACGCCCGTCGCTGGAGATACGGCAGCTGCCGATGGTGCTGGTGCTGCTCCTGCCATGGTTGCTGCCGTTGCGGCGGCTGTGGCTCTAGCTGAATTCGTTGTACCTGCCCCTCTTTAATCGGGACGGATTTATCTCTTTCGAATTGGGCGCCTAGTAACAGGCCTCCATGACGAGCCCCGTCGTATCTCCTTGGTCTCTTTTCTCTTCCGCACGGGAGCCGAGCTAATGGAAAAGTCCGCGGTCGAAACGTTGCTGAACAGTGCTCGAAAATTCACTCCGTTAACCGCATAAAATAGGAGGGTGGATGAGTGGGTGGGGAGGAGACAGAGAGAGAGAGAGAGAGAGAGAGAGAGAGAGAGCGATAGACAGTAAACCACCGATTTAGCCAAAGAGAAAAAATGATTGAAGAAGGGGGTGGGGCTGGACGTTGGAGGAGATGGAGAGAGAGAGAGAGAGAGAGAGAGAGAGAGAGAGAGGCGACCCCGGATGAAAAGGAAAAACTGGATATGCATAAAGCCTCTGGAGAGGATGGAAAAATTACGTTGTGTCGTGGCGAATGGCGGAAGACGGGAGGAGGGACGGGAAATGATTGCGCGCGCTCGTGAGAATGTCGGAGCAGCGGAGCGAAAGAGAGAGAGAGAGAGAGAGAGAGAGGCGAGTAGTCAGCTGTCTCGTGACGTCAGCGCTCACTGCGCCGCACAGACCACAGGGAAAGGGAACGAAGCCGATCACGTGGTACGTTCGTGTCACGTGGCGTTGGCCGCTGCCTCTGCCTCTGCCTCTGCTGCTGGTCGCCGCTTCCCCGTGATAATCCCTGGGCCATCGCGTTCCTCTCGCGTGACACCGGCGGCCCTCGTAAATGACCGGCACGTCATTATCGCGAATTTCGCATACTTAACGAGCATGCGGTTTCGCACGTATCCTGCGAACCCATCCTCCAAACACACACACACACACACACAACCCCCGATTTAACATTTTATTTTACCTGTGTATTGCGCTCGGACTATACTACGACTTCTTCTCTCATGCTTCCCCCCGTTTCTGCTGTATGCGCGAAACTTGTATCTGTGCTACCAACACCTCGACGCTTCATACACCCAATGCATAAGAGTGAGAAGGTTCTCGACTATTATCTCACTCACAGTCTTCCTCACCCCGTGCCTACGATTGTTCACCCTTTCTCATTTTTGCGCCAGTGTCATGCTTCCGGATGGCAATGTCCCAATAACTATTTCATGCAGTGGGCTTCTGTGTTTTTTGAACCAGCGGTTACCCGTAAATTATCTCCTGTCGGTATTTTCATCTGTGAATTCGGTCGTCAATCGCCACACACCACACGCTGCATGTGCGACCCACGACAGACGAAACACTACACTCAATACCACATACTCTGACAAATAATTCTTTCCACAATGTTTTCCATAACTATTCGAGCTTTCAATAACTTAACCTTAAATCTTTGCTTTGGCTGTGTTGAAATAAAGAATAGAGAATGTCTGTTTGTTGCCTGCAGCGTTTTCAATTAAGGCGTGGAAACACAATCAATACTAACATCATGCATCGTTAAAATTAAGTTCTCGCATCTCTTTTGTATTGTGCGATCACATTTTTTTTATTTTTTTTTTTTTTTTGCTTCACTTAAACATTATCCAAATGAATAAATTTAGTTTTTACGCTCGCATGTGTATGCAATGCCTATCAGTCTGTACTCTTGCTTGTACACATATTATGGCAACAAACTTATATAGACTGTGATGATAAAGCTTTCTCTTTCTCAGATAAGCCATTGACATTTAAATGTATTCTGTAAATTTTTTTAAGAAGTAATTTTACATTTCATCTTTTATTCATATTTCTTTTGAACACAGTGTATATGCGTGACATTAGAAAAATCATACTTTCTTAACGAGAGTTATTTTCATTTGAAAATTTGAAGGGTTGACAGCGAATGAGTGAGTACGCGTGCCTGATATTTTATAAAGTTTATAAAATCCTAATGGCATTACCTAGTCTATATAGAGAAACTCATGATTTATTTATCGATTTACATGGGCTGACATAATGAGAAAAATTCAGTATTGGTATCCCGAAAGTATTATACCTAATAATGTTTAGGTATTTGCCTAACTATTGTCCCCTTCCAAACTGTTAGGTAAATCTACGTGCGAACCTCTAACATTTCCATTGAAAAAAAAAAGTTCGTGTGAAACGTAAAATGATGCTGGATACATAAGAGTATATAATAACCAATCTTTTAATGCCATTGATCGACCCGTACGTTATTTATAATTTACTCCTTCAAAAGTCTCTAGTGACAACATTTTATACGAACTCGGAGACGGAAGATTAACATTAATTTAACCATTATTCTTAAAAGAAATTTCAACAATGTATTATACATAGAAAAACGAAAAAAAATTCGTTATTATTTAGTGTTTTTGTTTGTTGTTTTATTTTTTTTTTTTACGTGTAATTTTTGAAAATTCAACACTAAATTGTAGTTAAATGTACGGTAACGTTCTATTTAAAGAAGACACCATGACCGGATCGTCTAAATAACGTTCTATTAATAAATCTTAATCTTTAAAGGCTGGCTTACGGCACTTTTTGTAAGGGGAAAAACTTTGTAGAGCCATTTCGGAAGATCCTAGTAATAAATAACATAATGTATAAACGTTATTCGTAGCCTAAAAACATTCACATCACAGATTCAATTGATGCGGGATTCACATGCCCTCTTGTCGGCTAACACTTGAACACTTTACATCCCACAGTACTGGAAAAGTTTGGCATTTGCCGAAGGAAAGGGCACTTGGCTTTGACAAAGCGAACTAGAGAGATCTCTCGATCAAATTATTTAAACTGGCGATTATTTCTTAAAAGTTTCTTGAGAGGAGAAGACTAAGCCACGATTAATTAGCCTGTGCTCTAGATTTGCCCGAATACGAAAGCCCGGAACTTCCGATTAATACCCCCTTCCCCTCCTGCATCACCAATCATCCGTACGCACAAACACACATTCCGTTGCATATTCACATCCCAAGGAGCAGCTGGTGAGAGGAAAGATGAATCGGCCACGTTCGTCGATGCTTAGTCCTGCGCCCCAGGAGTCGCGCCCCACTCTCCTGGTGTCCTTGACACAGTGCCTCAACCCCTCCCGCGCTTACCTGATAAACGGGCCACACTTTGAGAGGAGCGCCACCGTCTTCGTCGACGTCTGTCGGTCATTAAGGAAGCGGGGATGTAAAGAAGCGTCTAAGATGGATAATGGGGCCGTGCGGGACCGCCTGCATAAATGGGTCTTTGACCCCTCGGTGCAGCTGTTATTGATCGTCCAGAGGACTCGAGCAGCATCGCTCTGCTTCTCGTGGCACATCACCAAACGCTACCCCCTCTGTTCTCCTCCAGCCCTCACGCGTTCGATCACATACATTCTGTGACACATACGTGTGACCATCTCCCAGCCGAATCGTCTTTTATCCTTGGCATTTATCGCGAGTGTACGAGGTTGGGAATTATTTTATTGCCCCACCTGCAGCCACCTCTCCAAGAGCCCACCACCACTCTCATATATATATATATATATATATATATATATATATTGATTGACAGTATTACGTTCTCGCCCTGCACTCGATCATCCTCGCAACGCAATGAAGAAATTCTATTAAATTACCCGCCCGTCCTTATTATTATTATTATTATTATTATTATTATTTGACTTGCTACGGAGAAGCTAACAGAAATGCGGCAAATTGATTGTTCGCACGCGTTTGCATTAGAAACTTGTGTGGGAGTCACTTTGCCGTGTCGTGTCCCAATATCATCATATCCGTGTCCGTGTTAACGCACACATTCAACAACAACGCTCCTAATATGGCATTATATACCTGAATCGTGAATTGTACGTTTTATCATCTTTTAATAATAAAGCCAAAGGCAGTCGTCGCGACACATTAATCCCCGCCTTCAAAATATCTTACTTTAAGCTAATAAAAACATTTACCGACGCGATTTTATCTTCTTTGTCAAATGGCTTTCGAATGCGAATTGATAATATTCTAATGGGTCTAGAGCCAAATGCTTTGTCGCAAATTGCGTTAATTGCCCTGTTAAATGATCTTGAGATGCTCGGATTGTCCCGTCCAAACTCTCGCGTTCTGAATCTGCTAATCTTTCGGGGCAAACGTTGGTATTTTCGTAATTATATTAAGACTTTAGGGTGTCGAGACTATGAAGCAAAGAGCCGTGCAATTGTCTCTGTATATAAGATAATTTCTCGCGGCTGTGAGAAAAGAAGGCCATGCCCGGTAGTGCGTGCGCGTGCGTGCGTACGCGAATGTAACCTTGATGGAACGTGGAGTAACATAGTTTTCGTTATCATGCTTTACAGGTCAGCAAGGGCAGCAGGGCGAACAAGAACTGGCAACGAAAATGCTTCAGATACAGAGCAAGAGATTCTATTTGGATGTCAAGCAGAACAAGCGCGGGAGGTTTATTAAAGTTGCTGAGGTATTGTACTCTATTGTCTTACATTATTATTATTATTATTATTATTATTACTATTCCCTTCGAGAATGCATTATCTAAAGGCAACGTAATAATAAATTCAGAGAAATTAATGGAGCCTTCGTATGTATTTTAGATCGGAGCTGATGGTAGAAGAAGCCAAATTTTCCTGGCACTCAGTACTGCGTCAGAATTCCGGGATCATTTGTCATCATTTAGCGATTACTACGCATCCTTAGGTAAATTATTTGCATAAAAAGTTAAAGGATATTGGCGAAGCTTTTTCAAACTCATTAATAATATTTTTTTCACAGCAGCAGCTGCTCTCTCATTAAAATTTACTCCCATCATTATGGAAATAACTTGCATTTTAAGCGTTAAAGTCTTTATTTATGTATTTGTTCTTCATATCCCTCTTCAGTTGGATAAATTACTTAAATAGTTCAATAATAGAGTCGAGTGTAAAATCATTAGCTCGTTATTCTATTTATTATAATTTTAAGGAGCTATAATTATCGTATAATGGAACGTACGAGAAAGAAAGCTCATTAATTACATTAATGTGCACTTGGTATTTATAAATGTAATTAATTAATTAATTAAAAATTTAACGAGTATAAATTTAATCGGTGATTAATAACGAAAGTAGAGGTGCATATTAACGGATATAATAATATTTTTATAATTATTCTAATATACGCATTGTCAATTATAACCAAAAAACTACGTATCATTGATTATTTTTCCGAATCGACATAATTATGACAGATATGTGTAGAAATTTATTACACGCCGTCTATTAATATTATACAGCGATTGAACAATTGGAACGCACGCGCAATTAGCTTTTAGAAAATTAATTATTTAATATAAATTTTTACCCTACTATTATTATTATCCAGTTTATAATTGTGTTGCAAAAATTATCGTATCCATATTTATAAAAATACTTCCCAGTGAATTAAAAGTATTATTAATAATTTTCTTTACATAAGTGAACCATTTCTCATTAATTTGACGGTTACAATAAATTTTTAAACTTTCGATATTTTTCCAATGAACAATCGTCAAGACAGAATTTGTTCTAAAAAATATTTACAGTTTCATTTAATTAATTAATGTTTTTATTAATATGCACACACTGCGAGCATACGAGTTTTTCAATTTAAGAAATGTAGCTTCGAATAAGTAAAGATATCAGTGCTGTAACAAAGCACAAATCCATCGATTATGTCCACATAAAATATCGTTCATTGTCGGATTTTAAAATCACAAAAATCACATGAATTGTAACTAATTTTTGTTTCTTCCACTTAAAATTAGTTAAATACGATGTGTGCCCGATAAAATTGAAATAATACATTGATAAAGGATAAAAGCATCGTGATACTTTTTTTCTGCCATTCGATGATATATATTTCGAAGGTTTTCGTTTCACTGAATATGTGAAATAAATAAACGAGAATATAAAAGATTCATTTAATTCGTTTGGTTTTGTTTCATTGAATGTTATAATCAACTGTAGTACAGAATAATAAATTAAAAAAAAAAAAAAAAAAAAAAAAAAAAAAAAAAAAAAAACGAAATTATTGAGAGAAATAAGTTTTTCTGTTTTATTTACGCTTTACAATGGTGGCAGCGATCATAATTAATTAATTTAATAATTCTACGGCCTTTTAAAAATGCTCTTGCGACATTAAAATTCAATAGGAATTAAAAATAAATAAATAAATAACAAACGAACAATAATGTAGCAATATTATAAAAGGATTATAGTAGAGGATGCCAATTTATTTATCCTCTTGTTTGATTTGAAATACGGCAATTTTACGATTATCTATTTATTCGTTTGAAGGGTAAAAACATCGTTTAGTGTGTGGTAGGATTGGCGCGACGAGAAATTGGTAATGGAGAAAAATTCCGATGGTTATACAAAATCGTCGTACGTGTTGAATGATGGCGACTGACACGCGTCTCGCGAGGTTATTCCGCCGAATGACGATGACGAGACGGTTCGTTTACCCCAAGTGAGGCAATTTACGCGAAATAACGTTGCTTTGCCCCGAGCGTAGTCTTATATAGTCACTGCGACTATTCCTTCGAATGCTGACGAATCGAGGACGATCGATTACTTGGAAAAAAAAACAGGGCCAAATATCACACGTGACAGGTCGAATGACGCGCCCCAAGGGCATTAGCAATAACAATGGCGGGTGGACGGGAACTTGGTTAGCTAGAATTATTTGGCTATTTACGGTTTGCGGAAGAATTTGACCTTCGCGATGATAGATTACGGCCGTATCCTAATGGCCAATTTGGCTCGAGCCAATGTCCACCGATAATGCACGAACTTTTATAATTTGCAATGTTGATTTAATGCAATGCCGCAATAATAACCTACCATAACCGCGCTCCTTACTCTTAATTTTACAGGACCTCCGAATTCGGATAACGTACCGGACGACGGCAAACTCAAGTCGGAAATGATGGTTAAGGACAACAGGCGATACTACTTGGACCTGAAGGAAAATTCTCGCGGACGTTTCCTGCGGGTGAGTCACCCTGTATGTACCGACCAGCAAATAAATCACGTTTATTATAATCGCACATTGTGAAATGTAAACGATATTAAGAATGAGCTTTAATGAAACAAAAACAAAAAAAACTGCATGTCTCGCTCGAGTGATGGCGAATGTAAATAATATCCATGTACTGAATGGCGATCGACGACGTTGATGTTGCAGGTGTCTCAGACGATAACACGTGGCGGCCCGAGGACGCAGATCGCGATACCGGCCCAGGGTATGATCGAGTTCCGCGACGCGCTCACGGATCTGCTCGAGGAGTTCGGCACGGATGATGGCGGCTTCAAGGGCGACTTGCCCGACGGCCGCTTCATGCGCGTCGATAATAAAAACTTCTATTTCGACATTGGCCAGAATAACCGCGGCATCTACATGAGAATCTCCGAGGTTTGTACCGACGCTGACTGACTTGCCTCCTCATCCGCATTGCCTCATCTCCCGTTTTCGGCGAGCTCGCTTTACGAATTCACACTTGCCGGGTCATTGCCCGACCCACTCTAATAGTTGTAGAATGCTTTGAGAGGTGTGGGTGTTAAATATATCCGACACCCATATGCTCAATTCTCTTTATTAGGTATTCGCGTATATTTGCTAATGTATTTGCTAATGTATTTGCTACTTGTTTTGCAATTAATTAGTCATTGTCATTGAATATTATATCGGTACTGGCTGACACTTTTGAGACATTAATTATGTTCCTAATTTTAACCGACTTTTCATTGAATTTCAATGCATTAAAAGTGGCAATGATTTTTTATTTCTTCTCTTTTATTCTTTATTTGCAAATTTACTGGCAAGTATCATTTTATAATCAGGTAATAATAGAATATTGTCATAAATCAAATACATTGTGATGTTACAGTAAGTTACGAATGAAATTTAGACATAACAAGACAAGCAATAACGATGAGACCGATAAATTGTTAATGACCGACATTCTAATAATATCTCGTCGAATTTTATAATAATCTATGAATCGCCGAAGCAATTTAAAAACAAAAACAAACAAAAAACTACCTAAATTCATTTACTATTCGTTTATTCAATATTTTCACTTGGATCATAAATTCATTTGCTTTAGACAATGTCACGAGTTTCGTAAAAATGAAATATTTCTCTGTCTTTGTTTGCTACGTGTACAATCGAACAAATTTATGATGAAATTTGACATTTGTTAAATATTAAATACGTAATTTACTCAACATTGGCTCAACACCAATTTATACCAACTAATAATGGGATATTTTACAGCGGTGAATATTAAATAGAACATTAATAAAATAACAACTTAATTTTATTCGTTTCAAAAGCTAAGATTTTGGTAATAATTTACTATCAAATATATATATATCATTACATGCCTATAACGCAGCTTCAATTTATGAGAGAAAATGTTATTACAACGTTAAGTGGTTGAAAGCGTGAAAATTCAATTATTCTTCATTTATAAAACATATATTATCGACCGAATATTTTATTAAAATTTAATTATTTAGTTTTTACTTTTCCAAAATATACGTATTCTTAAAAAATATTACATACCCGATTTCTGCTGAGTTTTAAAATTTTTTAAATTAAAAACTTGTATCTGTAATTACATAATATTTAACGTTATACATTACTTGAAGAAAAAAAAAAAAAAAAAAAAAAGAAGAAAAAAAAGTTCTGCTCTTTTTACATTAAATATATGATTGTGAAATTCTAGAATTGTGCAAGTCGCTATATAAACCACGAACAATTAAAATAAATTAAGGCAATTAAAAATATTTATATATATTGGTTAAACATTTACATTACATTTAGATATTCCGTTTGCTTAGTTTAATTTTCTTCGAAAAAGTACAGAATTTTCTATTCTTTTAATAGAACAAATTACATTTATGATAATAATATTACATCAAACAATTTTAGAATAAGATTGTTGCAATAATTAGTAACAAAAATATGTTACATTTGTCTTTCTTACCGTTCGACTTATTTAATATGAAAACGATCCACACTGCCATCGAAAATTAATCGAAACAACAATACAGAATTGATTTTTGATGTTTCAAATACCTTCTTTTTATCAAATTATATTTTATATGAATGGTGGCTCGTTAAATTGCTGTCTTGTCGTAACAAAAAATACTCTAATACTTTAAACAATTTACAGATTCGTCTGCTTACAGAAGATATTATTTTCTGTAGATATTTTCATGTAACGCTGCTCAATCCACTACTCAATACTTAAAATTAACTGTCATTGAAAATGCATTTCGTCTAGATAATGCACGCATATTGTATTGCAATTGTAAATCAAACGTCACACAATGATGCGCGTTAAGTGCTCGGAGTCGTGTAATATAATTTTGAATTTTTAATAGTAAGAAAAACAATGCTAACATATACTTGCTAAGTTTTTCATATTTCTGGTATCAGAAAAAAAAAAATATGCATACTTTATAAGCATTAAAACGACGGTAGTATTTTTGAAAATATAGTTTAATCCAAGCAAGAACAATAGCACTTAATTTAATAATAACAATCGATGACTTTCAATCCAGCGGATTAATATAAATCATGATTTATACCTTAGGTGAAGACCAACTTCAGGACAGCCATCACCGTGCCGGAAAAGTCGTGGGCGAAATTCCGCGATGTATTTGCCGATTATTGCGAGAAGATGAAGGAGGGCGGAAGTAGTCTCACGGGTGGTATGAGCAACATCGGCGGAACATCCTCCGGGTCTAATAACGTCCTCGGCAATGAAAATAAGATGCAGGGGGTGGCGCAGGTATCGCCACCGTCCGGGACTTCGCAGCTGCAGCAGCAACAACAGCAACAACAACAGCAACAACAACAGCAGCAGCAGCAGCCTAATCCGAATTCGAATTTAGACTCTCCTCTGATCAAGTGAAAAAGGCTTTAACTTAACTCGAACTTTGGCAATTTACACCCGTAACTCGTTTATTCGAATCGTTATGCGTACCTACAAGAGCGTACTAAATATTAAATGAAGCATTTGTCAGAGAATCATCGAGAGTCGAGGAACATACGCCATCGTCTTCATCTTATATCCTCCGTCGTCGTGGTCGTGATTTTCTGCAAAGCAGAAGCGCCAAGAGTTACTACGTGTGTGAACGAAAAAAAGTAAAAAAATCTAATTTCCTGCTGCCACTCCCCTCACAAATCTCTTTAATAAAATGGCCGCTCGAGCACCTTTGAAAGGCATTGGGTGACCTGGTGATTTCTGGTTGTTAGAATCATCGATTATAAAACAGTCTTGAACGCGATTGCTTATACATGCGCCTAAGCATGTATATGCATGTGTATTAAATAAAAGAATATATTCTTTTATTTTTAACAACGTAGAATTACCCAATAATTAGCGCAATATTATTTCTAACATCATGAAACTATCAATCATACATTAGATACGCTCATTAACATTTCATGGCACTAAATATTATCAGAATAAAATTTTTATTTATCCTTTAATTCCCGACAATAATACTTAATGTTTTATATGTATATAGATATATATATATATATATATATTCAATATTAATTATTATTATTATGAATTATTATTATTAAATTGACGACGAGACGGGTTGAGAGACTTCTGTTCATCGATGATTTGCAGATCTTTAGATAATATGCCTATGCGATTAAATAAAAATAATAATTAAAAAAAAAATTTAAAAAAAAATTAAAAACTGATATCCTAGATGGATACGAGTTGCCATCGATTAACGTTATAAGCGCTACAGTTCATTTCCTAAATATTTACTGAGTTTGGTAAGCATACGATTTGATATGTTTATTATAAATGAAGTCGTCATTTCGATTCCGTTCTATAATGATATTCCACAACTAATTAAGCACTTAGTGATTTTAATTTTGAATTTCGCATAATTTTTCGCTCTTTGATATGTGTAACGCCCGATCTAAAGATTCCGAAAGCCGGAAATGGACTATAGCGAAGGTTGCGTTACAATTGAATTTGATCGTTTAGATTTTATGGATAAATATTTGTTATTATAACGATCGCATCGCCCTGGAACAGAGCCGAGCATCGACCCTTCCAGCTTCGCTCTTTGCTCTTTGATAACTGACTGGCAAATAAAAATACCATAATGCAAGTCAACTTAAGAAGTAAAGGAAAAAAAATTAATATTAATTAATTGTTCTTATTGTAAGGGGGGGAGGGAAATATATATATATATATATATATATATATTATAAAATGATGAGCCTTTAAGGCTTTTTCTGATACACGTTCACAGGCTTTTTCGTGTGAACATCCTTGATTTTCTGACGGGTGGCTGCTGACAAAAGGGTGGCTCTCGTCCCTTTCCTAAGCGACTGTTGATCGGTCCTGTACACTATGACACCGTACATTCGTTTAAAAAACTGAAGAAAACGACGTCTCTATTAAATAATAATATTGAAATAATATATAAACATAGGGTTGGGGGGGGGGACGAAGAGATGCTAGACCCATACGAATCTATATGATATTTACATTATATAACGTTAATTATGTTGCGCCCCGTTGAACACTGCAGGCAGATAAAACACACGTATACACACGTGCATATGCTGTATATATACAATCTTATATATCGTCTATGTATATCGTGTATAAATACATTAAACACGATAAAAATGATAAATGATGTAAAGGATAAATGACCTTTGCAAAATATACAGTGCATACAAAACACATACAATATCCACTTCCACTGCACACACTTGCACGCAGTAAACAAGTAAACGAAATTTTTGCGCGTGCAATCTCACATAACCCGTACCCTCACGTACCCGCGTGTACCGAAACACATACACAGAGATACATTGAATTGCGATATGCGAATATAATACGGAAGTTGCGTACCTAATTTACGTTACGTTCCAAAGTCGATCTGGCTGACTCTTCTAACACAATTGCATATTAGGCATGTATTATACAAAGGCATATTAGGTATTTATATAGAATCTATATAACTGTATAATTGTAACGAAAAGCCAATGTCTGGCGGGACCCAGAAGAATTGGCATTCAAAATTTGACGTAGGCACAGCCGATTGTACTGCGTGAATAATGACAAAAGATGAAAGACAAATATTGCATTGCAAGAAAGATAAGCAAATTATTTATAACCGTTTTCACCATCTCATAATCGGTCTATTCGATTAACCTTCAGTTTTCACACTTATATGGTATAGTGTTGAGTCGGAAAGACAGAAAGTAGCGCGATAATTGGCAAACGCTTCTTCTGGGTCCCTTCTTTCGGACGCAGGAAGATAGATGATAGAAAAAGGAAATGCTTCAAAGATCTTTTCAAATAAAATGCGACGGAAGAGAGAAAAAAGTGCAGGAAATATGACAAAAAAAAAAAACAAAAAAAAACACACGCAAAAAAGAATAAAGCAAAAAGTAAATACAGAAATGTAAAAGAGAGCTGGTTGTTAGAAATAGTTTGGTGTTTCGTTTGCTGTTTTACATCGTTGCTAAACGGTTGCTGATCGGCCGTTTATGATAAACTGCGATTTTACGTCTAGAAGTGAGAAATAATGAGTGGACACGTTTCACTATTAGTCGACCTACGCTCGCGATTGGCAATGGGATAATCAATGCTGTTATTGCGATCCGTAAAAGAAAAAAAAAAAAAAAAAAACAAAACAAAAACAAAACAAAACAAAGAAAAGCAACAAGAAAAAAAAAAGAATTAAGAAAGCAAAATGAAAAATATTACACTTTTTCGGCGATGTTCTCGCGCAGTTGCGATTGAAATTTTCGGGTTTCACACAACTCGTTAACCTTTATAAATCGAAAGGCTGCGAGTATAGCCAAATTAAAAAGAGCTGATTATTAAATAAAAACTACAGAAAAATAACCTGTTTTCTCTTTTATTGCACACAAAGAAAATTTCTATCGTTCTTGTACGAGAATCGCCATGATTCTGCAATTATTAAGATGATATTGACGACAGTTACATTGTCATTGATTATTAATATGTTTTTTTGTTAGTAAATTTATTTATTTTTTTTTTTCTCTCATCATCATCATGAGAGTAGTCGATATAAATAATATAAACTGAAAGATAAAACTCCTTTATTGCTAACGCATCATTTTGAATAAGAAAATTCGAAACGAGTATGATGCTGAGTCTAAATCATATATTTTTCCATTTACTTTGCACCTGTTGATTAAGCAACTCCTCCACCCCCTCCCTCATTCTCTCTCACTCTCTCTCTCTCTCTCTCTCTCTCTCCCTCCCTCCCTCCCTACCGCAGACACATACTGTCTCTATGTGTATCTTATAGTTAAAATGACACTAATCATCGATTCAAGAGAGTCGTATGGTGAATAGAAGGCGAGATTGGTTTGGTGCTATGATTCGCCGTAGATTATCACTGCGATAACTTCAAAATAAAATATAAAGTAGGATACTCGGTAATATAGCACCGTCCTATTTAAATTTTCTGTTTTCTTCTTCTTTTTTTCCATTTTTTCTGTTAATTTGAAGCGTCGTCTGCACCGACATCCGACATCCGATACCCCACCCACCCTCTACGCGAAGCATTCCAAAGTGCTTTCAATGATTTAACAAGAGAATACCGTACAATGAGATAAAGAAATCGGAGCCCATATTACAGCTACGAAATTCTCCGTGAAATGAAGTGAAATGAAAAAGAGGGTGAGGGAGGGGGACGCGTAAACAGAAAACGATTCTCGCATCGTTCCCTTCGTCATCTATTCTCTCGTAAATTTTGCAACTCAACGCGATTACAAGACTCGAGGGATAAGTGTTAAATTGCAAGGATTATTCATTTTCATAATTTGGAATTTTATTTGATAAAAGCTGTTCTTGCTCCCGCAATAAAGCGCTCCGATCATCGACAACCATTCTGTATCGCTGAGCATAGTGCGACGATATTTATACGATCCATCGAGTAAATCATTCGATTTACGAAGCTAGTCAATACATACTCCGTAGCATTAAGTTTTCGAGAATGATCGGAGAAGAAGGCTAAAGCTCTTCGACAAGTTCTGCAATTCAATAGTGATGAACTATCGCTACCCCAGCATGTAATAGAATGTAATGGAAAACAAAAGAACTAATGGCTCCTTTCTTGTTTCCTGCGATGGATTATTCTGAAATCTCTGAAAAACACGATAAGCTATTTATTGTACAATGAACGTTAAAACGTGTATTATAGATGTAAGGATTTTATTGATTTGCATGTGGTTGTAGAGGGAAGAAGGAGCATGAATTTATTTATTTATTTTTTTTTATTTTTTCGATCAGCCCTTGTCTCTTCTAAATCTTGTAGCGTAAGGTTCGGTGCTGAATTTATATTACATGACATATACGCCAAATGTCTATAATGTGCTGCTATTGCTATGATAAATCTGTTGGCAAAGAGTGACAGGGACTGACGGGGAATTCATTATTTCGTTAAATGATCAATGTTTATTTGAATGTGATGAAGGGCGTCGATCAGGCGAGTCCGAAGAATGGCATTACGATCGTAACTAATCATAAACGGAATTACGTTTATCCGTTTCATCGATGTGATAAAGAACAAAGAACAAAAGAAAAAGAGAAAAAAAGTAGAAAAAAAAAGAAAAAACTTCCCATTCTCGTGCAGTTTTTGCGGGGCGTAAGAGAAGAAAGAGAAGATAAATCGCGATATTATTGACGAATAGTAATAACAATGAATCCATAAACACGGAATACTAACCAGTTAGTTCCTAGTCTCGTTTATCTATTGTCGACGAACTCTTTTTACAGCTATTTTCTTCCTACTCGTAATCGAGTCTAGACATCTGCTTTTATTTGAATGTGATTTGGCTATCGGCATTTAATTCTCTCATCAAATAGTCTAAAATAAAAGCCCTTTTTAGGTAATAGGCAAGTCACATTTTAATTTACTGGACTATGGAGTATAATAGTCGTAAGCCGAGCGCAATTTTCCATCATTAATGACTCCTAAGTGTTCTAAAGCATCTTCATCGAGAATATATGAGTATATTTGATTATATTTTTTATGTAATTAGTAAATCGCATTATCGACACTCTAGACGTAAAATCGTAGAAATACAAATGAATAAAGGAAGCCCCAAAATCGATACAAATGAGTAAAATATTAAAATTTAAGACTCGAAGCTGAATGTCGCAGTAGCGATTATCTCATCGAGTAGACGTTTCGCCCTAGTTCGTAATATTTTAAATTATCAAACGGATGTAAGAATGATTAAATGAAGACGTGGGCGAGAGACCGCTTATTCTACGTTTCGTAAATTAATTACGTAGCTTATGTAGCGTTGGTATTTAATTATTAAAAGAAGAAAAAAAAAGTAAAGAGTAAATCTTTGTATTACATCTATTGGGAACAGGCCTCGCATTTGAATTATTTGATCGAACTTTGATCGATCACTATGTAATTATTTCGCAAAGCTCTAGCACTTTCCTTAATTCTACCGGTTTTTTTCTTTTCTTTTCTATTTCTTGAAATAATATATATATATATATATATATATATTTATTGATGATACACGACTTATTGGGAAAAGGCTTTTTTTTTTATCCTTCTTGGCATAATTAACGATAAAAGAGCGTTAAATATTTTCAAATTAATTTTCAATAATTATTTAAAGGATGTTGGAGAAACGAACGATTGTGATCTTTCGCCCATCGATTAACGATCGTATATCCATACAGCAAGATACCATTTGCATATATGTGTATGTGTGTATGTATGCATATATATATATATATATATATATATATGTATGCGTGTATGTATATATATATATATATATATATATATATATATATAAGGTATAATAATGTATGCGTATGTGGGTGTGAGTGAGTGGAGGGGATAGAGGGATGCGTGCTTGCGGGTATGTGTGATTGATTGTATTAGACGAAACATTAATCGGGTATTGTATAATCGAAAAGTCGCTAAATTCAGAATGCGTGAGTGAGATTTTGTCGATCTATACGAACGAAAAAAGAAATATGTCTATCCGAAGAATAATTGAGCAGTTGGTGTTTGTTCTTACGTTTGTTAGAGATCGAGCAAAAAGTAAGATGAAAAGAGAAGTAGTGTGTCTCGGTAATATTTGAATAAAAGTAATTGCCTCGGCCTCGATATTACATGTAAAACACGTTTGACAAGGTAACACGGAGCATTTCATTATGTATTTCTACTGTCTATTTTCTCTCTGTTCTCATCGAGCTTCTCCCTTTTATTCACGATCGAGTCATTTGTTGTCGCGCACCACTTTTATTTATTTAATTATCGCAGCGGTCGTACGTTAATTGGCTCGCCATTGCATTTTGTCCTTATGTACACACGTAATGTATGAGGCATTTTTTTTTTTTCTTTTTTTTATACGTTTCTTCTATCTTTAGTTTTACGATAAGATTAATTTTTGTTTCAAGCGTCGTTCATTCAGTCATATTACGGAGTAAGATTCTTTGTTTATTATTAATTTTGTTGCGAGAGGCACCGTCGTTTGTGATGAACGGTTACTAAAATCTCGCATTACAATTATAGTTATTAAAATGGTATCGAGTCACGGAGAGAGAAAATGCCGGTTCTCAAGCTTAAAGTTTGTTTATTCTAAGAAACAATTTGTATAAATACGTTTTCAATGCATTATAGTTTTCGTATTTCTCTTCGCGCGACGAGAATTTCGTCGTCAAGTCGTAGCTTACAATGATTACTCGTATTAGATTTGTGTTTACAATAACCAAGTCCTTATTATATTATACTTTGGTGTAACGGCGAAGAAAAAAATACAAAATTTTTATTAACGAAAGTTTGTTTAGTTGAGAGAGAGAGAGAGAAAGACGAAAATTGATCGATTATGTGTAGAAGCTCGTAACAATTAATAAACAGCTAAACTTTCATTTGGAATAATATTTCCAAATTTGCTGCATCGTACGTCGGCCACATCACTAATAAAAATGAAACAATTCGATTTGACCGAGAAAGTCGGGAAAATGCTCATTTATGCCTTGGATACGACAGGTTTCCAAAGAAAAGAGCTAAGCACCACGACATCCGACAAGTGTCCAAACAAACACGGCAAACGAGATTAAAACGTCAGGAAAATCTTGGAAAATCGAGACATAAGTAATTTTCACGTTAATCAAAATCCTTGTTCCTATCAAAGTACCCCATGATTATTCGAAGATGATACAGCAGCGAGCACTCGAGTTGTGTACTTCACTTGTGCCTCCGATACGAACGTTTCCGGTGATCCATCTGTCAATTTGAAAAATTTGAACTCGATGAGATCTGTGATCGAAGTGATTTCTATCAATGTGACCTGTCTTTTAAAGTACCGTTTTCTTCATTTATTTAGTTTTACGACTTACGCAAATTATATGTACTCTCAATACTTTTAAGCTGATAATTTACTCGCACTACTTCTTCCATATTAAATTTGAATAAAAGTAATGAATTCTGACGGAGTCGACATTTTTTCATAGATACTTCAACAAATACATTATTTGCTTTCTTTTTTCGTTTTTTTTTGTTTTGTTTTTGTTTTTGTGTTTTTGTTTTTTGTATTTTATTACTAATTTAAGAAGCTTCTTCTCCAAAGATGTGTGAAGTTAAAAAAGAATACAAAACTTTGATAAAAATAGAAAATCATTATTTATAATTTCATAAGTATTTATTTATGTACAATGTATAAATAAAAATATAATTCATCTACTGGTACCTAAATTGGCACACTGAATTAATAATTTAAATATTAATATCTAATTAACACTTTTTATCTCTCTCTCTCTCTCTCTCTCTCTCTCTCTCTCTCTCTCTCTCTTGTTTTCATTCCTAATTATAATGCCTGGCTTTTCCACGAGAACATCATGCTTCAAAGAATGCCAAATAGTCTGGCAACCATTCCGGGAAATGTGACACTAAAGTTATTGCATCGTCGTGATCGTTTAAGAAAATTTCTTTTAGCGACTCGACAGTTTGTATTCTAGAATTCTCCCTATGAACATGTTGTTTTATTCTTAATAGTATGACGCAGAATTGCAAATGCGTTGGATAAAGATCCAATAAGTCTTTCTTGTTTTTCGCACAATTGATTTCAATTTTATCTAAAACGCATTGTATAAAGTCCCGAGCTACCTCTGAATACTTGGTTTCGATGAAAAATTCTTTCAATTTGCCTGAAACGGTTTGAAAAAGCTGCGGACTATCGATAACGTATTCAAACAACGAGTCCATATTACTTAACAAATGCTCTTTATTTCTATCGGAACAATAAGCCATAAAAGAATCTCCCAATGGCTTTTCGATAAATTGTAATTTTTTATTCAAATATATATTGTTTATAAGAGCCGAATCCAATTTAAACTCATCGCTTTTGCTAATAATATACCGTAAAAACTTTTGGCTTTTCTCAGTTTCATCTAATTTTATAATTCTCTCCATAACCCTTGTGAAACATTTCGTCAAGGATCTTTTCTGCATTAACGCATTGAATAATATTTCAGCCAACTGAACTAGACCATCCGCATCGTCGCAATAGCCTATAATTTCTTCGGAGAGATACTTTTTTAAAAAGCGAATTAAAAAATTGTAAGATCTTTGGTTATCCTTAAAGAAGCGAAGATCATCTATGCCTCCTTTTATTTGACTCCAATCTCTCAACGTATCCTGTAATGTAAAGTTATTCAAAATACATAATTGCTTATTGTACGTAATAAGCGAATGCAATTTAATATGACAATATTAGCTTACTATAAGGTGGAGTCTAACGGAATATCGCTGGTAAGCTTCCTGGGATACCTTGTACGATAAATATTTTGTTAATATTTTGGATAATTCATGGATTACATTGTATCTTATCGGAGGAAAGTCTGGATTTTGATGTTCATCTAACGCCTCAATCGTCATATTACCAGAGCTAAGAATATTTTTCATAATCTGAACATCCATTCTTGAGGCTACTCGATCAATCTTGCAAAATTTGCACTTCAAACGTATTCTAAGGATACGTCAATATTTGCAAAAGAAAGAAAAAATTTTTTTCCCTCCTCTCTGGCAATCACTTTTCATCGAACGAATCCCACTCACTTATCAAACGTTTATTTAAAACTTTACATTTACCAATTGCTCTCGTTCAATACCATTTACAATTCTAATCCGATGCATTGCAATAGCACAGAAAATACACGTAAATATAAAAGAATTATAAAAGATACGAGACTAGAGAAAAACGGAGACTATGCCGGTTTCCAATAATTTAAATTACATTTTATTCTTCTAAGAAGCCACTTGACTCCAACCAGACATTAGACAAAACTTCAAAAGTCCAATGATTCAGAAATGATTGGCAGTAGAGAAGGCTGGAGACATTGATGGTGCTGCCCCTCGTCCCATGTGTCCTTCCTTCCTTCCTTCCTCGCCTTACCAACGCATTAACATTATCACATAACCTACGTAACGATATATCATGTCTAATCATTTACATAATGTTTTTTTAATGCTCGAGAGGCGTTTGCCATGATATCCATCATCTTCAGAATCATTAAATCGATTATACTTTAGATACTACTAACAACAAGGTTATTCGTATGCCTAGTAAATTATTAAATAATACAAAGTGGCATAATCACCCTTTTCTTTCATAAATATACAACACCTCTAAATATATTATATGCATCGTATATATATATATATATATATTAACGACTATCGGAAATTCATAAACGAGAAACATTTCTTACGCGGAAAACTAATGCCGATTGGCAGAAATGCTCTTATGTACCGTTAAAATTCAGCAAATAGCTGATAGATTTGCAGAAAGCTCGCGATCCTATAGAAAGTTACGGTATCGATCGTTACGGGGCAATTTTATCAAACAGCCAAATTTAAATGTAAATATTTCTTCAAATAATTAATCTACAACTAATCTAATTATTATCCTTATTAATATTCATTTATATATATATATATATATATATATATATATGTATCATGTAATTTAATCAAACGTTCTCTTCCATCAGCATATCCCGATACTATCAAATGTCATTAGTTTTAATATTGAAATTTCGCAGCTCAATGGTAGCTGTAATTAATAAGGGAAACCTGATGTGACGAAGAAATGAAAATGACAAATAACAGATTAATAACAACTCTAAGATGTCTATTAACTCGACCACACTGCGGCTGAAAACACTATTATAGCAAATACAATTAATAAAGATATTTATATACTCTCGCACGCTCTCTACGACATTAGTTATTAATAAGGGAAAAAAAGTGTTGATTATCGATGAATCGCTTAGAATACCAGTGAATCAAATAGACAAGACATTAATTGATAAAGTAAATTAAAAGCATTCAAAAATAAAAATAAAAAAAAAAAAAAAGTAAAGGGGACTTTAAAAACCAATGCTTTGTGTGAAAAAGTATTTTATTCAGAGAGCAGACGGATAAAATAGCATAGCAAATGCCGGAAAAGTTAAAGAATGTGAATGGAAATTAAATAATAGTGGTTTTAGCCTGGACAAGTGGAGTTAATAAGAAAAACTTTAAGGAGAGTGGGTGTACGGTTAAAGATCTCGACGAAACATAAATGTGCGCATACTCGTATAAATTATAACGTATCATATTAATAATATAGTTATTAGATTATAAATTTTTAAATAGGAATGTTATTGGGAGAGTGAAATAATAATCATAGAAAAGATCGAGAAGTAGAATTACATCGATCGATTGCAGAGTCGAACGGGTATGCCGAGGAATAGATAGAAAGTAACAGGGAGTTAGGAGTAACAATTAGGGAGGAGGTTTAAAATAAAGAGAATAATCAAAATACACATTTGAAAAATATAATGAAAATTACGCGAATTGAATAGGTAAAGGAAGTTCAAATATAATATACCTGGACAATAGGAAAGAAGCGAGTTCGGCAATTATGCAATAAAATAAATAAAATGGAGGTAGGAAGATTGAGGAATAGATATAATAATAATGAGTACGTATATAAGAAGGCAAATGGATAGAGAATAAATGGATAAAGAAATATATTTGAAAGGTAGAAGAAAATTTTTATAAAAAGAAAAAACAATACAATGATTCGAGTAAAATTAAGACTAAAAAATCAATCAGAAAATACACGATGCGAGGATGAAAAAAAATTAGAAGAAAGTTAAATAAGAAAATCTAATAGATAAAATTTTCTGAAGCATAAGCGAAAGTATGCGTTAAAAAGAAATAAAAAAAAAAATTTTCAATAATGTGATGATATACAGTAATAATGAATGAAAAGCCGACATACGTAGGAGAAAACAAACTAAAAGAAGGTCAGTCTCGATATAGATATAATACAAAAATAATTAATGAATATGTGCGTGTGCGCGTGTGTGTGTGTATATATATATATATATATATATATATAGAGAGAGAGAGAGAGAGAGAGAGAGATAAGAATGGCTATTAATAAGAAAGAAACTTGTTTACATACTTTTAGACAAATTTTAAGAGAAGATCGATGCAATGTTAAAAAAGT